ATATAAATAAAAAACTAATAAAATAATTATGGATGAACTAACTAATATTAAAAGAAAAAAATTATAATGAACTGATATTTTAATTTTAATAGTTTAATTTTTTTGTTAGGTAAAAAAATATTAAAAAAAAAAGATTTCATCAACCAAAATCTCTTCAATTGAATAATAAAAATTTCACGAATTAATCAATCAATCAAACTTACACATGTGTAAGTCTTTCAATTTTAGATAAAAGTAAAAAGATAACAAATTAATTCATTTTTCGTATCATGAATTCAGAGAATATATCAATTATAATTTATCGGGGTTTAATATTAATCTACTTACGGTGTCAAATTTATTTAATAATTTTCTATGATTTATTTTTCAAAAATTGTATAATAAACCCGCGTATACGCGGGGTCTAATCTAGTATATATATATATAAGCTTTTATATGATAATTATTAATTTATGATATTATTGGGACCATATTTTACATATGAGTTTGAAAAAAGTTATTATCTTATTGTCTTATCAAATTGTGTCATATTTTACACCGGCCCAACTTGGGACCGGAGAAATTTATTAATTTTATCGTGTTTATTAATTTATCGAGTATTAATTTATAGAGTTTATACTGTATAACTATATTGATTTGTGAGAAATTACAAGGTGTTAGACACACAAGACCATGACAACCACAATAGGATACTAAGCCAAACGAGATAAACATTCTCCGGAAGAAAAGCTTGTGAAAAACGACAAACACCATAAACTAAGTCCACTCAGAGGAAACTAACAACAAATGAACTAAAATAAGAAACTAAAAATGAGGAAGAAAAGAACCTAAGTGGTTAAACTGAAATGAAGAACCACACCAACTCACACTAATGCACTGGTCAAGACCTGCTTCAAACTTCTATAGAAACTTTATCCTCACTGTAAATGCACTCGGCCAGACTACAGTCATAGAGGTTTGAAGCTTCCCTTCCCCGAAGATACACAAAGTACCTAACAACTCAAACAATCAGCCTTCCAACACGCCAAATAGTTTTAACTGGCAAAAGCGCCAATGGTAGGATGGGCTCTCGATTAGATGTAAGATAGCAGCAGGGAGCAAACGGAACCAAACCGGATAACACCAAACTCCAGAGACAGATAAGGTGAAAGATCAAACCGGAGAAGAACCAAAACCCAAGCGAACTCCTCAGAAACTAGACGAAACACGGAAGCAGCCCTAGAAAAAAAAAACTTAATTAGTTATTTTTCTTTTGTTAATAAAAATTAGTTGTTGGGATCACATATTCACATGCGAATGTTTTTTCATCTCTTAAGGTCCCCACACACATCTAATTGGTGATCCTTGGCTTGTCACTCTTATAGCCACTCATATAAATGAAACTTAAGCTACTTGACACTGTCATTAAACTCCATAAGCTTTGTTTTTTCCTACTTACAGGCTTCCATGACATAACATAAAGCAAGACGCTTTTGCCCTTTCTGGACATTTGCTAATTGTGAATGTGAGAGGAGCCACGTTTCCAGATTATGCTTCTTTAAAGATTCCTCCTCTTCACGCGCCACCGTACGCGTATCCACACTATCTACAGCTTTTCTTAATAGAGAAAAACTAATTCAAATTTGTAGTTCAAACTCTCGAATCATATCACACTTGTACAAAAACACAGTTTTCAGTTTTTGAATAAATTTTACATTCTATTAAAAAAAAAACTAATTTAATTTCATTTCATATTTGATCCAAAAATTAAAAATGAAACAAGAAGACCATAATTTCTCGGTAAAAAGTGAACATCTCCCTGAATTATTTATAGTTTTATACCAGATTTCCCCACACTGAATGATTATATATCGCTAATAGATCTTAGGTTATAGTCCAGATTAATTCTCATAGTTTGTGGAATGCTAAGTATTATTGCCATTTGAGATATTTACAGTGGAGAACATAGTTGAAATACGGTAAAAAGAACTCGAACATTGGTCTCTCAATTTCAAAATGAGTCATTCAACTATAACACTATAATTTGGTTAGATTGATTTTACAACTGAAATCGAATCGTAGAAATAGCCCTCTTCTAAAACAATTATCAGTTATGCTAATCCACACAAATTACGTTAAATATATTATAATATAATATAAAATATATTTTTGATAATTAATATAATTATTTTTATAAGAAACTTGACTGATTTGTGTAAAGAGTTGACAAAAGGGTCATTTTCACTTAATTAAGTCGCGACCACACAAATAATGGGTTTTCTTAAAAATGGCTTAAGAATACTTAAACTTTTGGATGATACGCCAAATCAAGTGCCCTTTAAAATATAGAAATTCTTTCAAATGCTTTAACGAAGAGACTTTCGATCACTCATAGTCATAGTCCTTATTGTAGATCTACAACATCTTTAAAAAAAATGAAAATTGTGTAATTAAGTCAATAATCTTTTTACATTCAATTTTGAGTTAGTTATACGGTTGAATATCGTAGATTTTAGAATATGAAGTTTATTAGGTCGGCTTAGATAATATAAAAAACAAATAATTATTCGACCGAGATCGCTGATAAAAAAAAAAAAAAAAAAAAAAAAAAAAAAAAAAAACTATTGGACCGAGATCATTATAAATTTAATTTCAGTATGGAGGATCTTCCACTGCTTTGGGTACTCATATCGGATTCGTACCCAAATTGTTCATTCGATTATTATTTTAAAACAAAAATTTGTTGGATATCCGATATTTTGCCAAAGCATTAAGCTCAGCGTGAGCATGTCCTTAGGAAAGGAGTGTTTCCGAAAGTCCACCAATGGGCAATGGATAAAGCACTTAAACCGAAACCTAAGTAACCTAATAGTTCACGCACAGTGGAACCAAACTTGTTTTCATCAAATCTCTAAATGCTAACCCGTAAAGGCCTATCAAGAGGAGGGAAGGAGGTTCATCAATCATCACTCAGTGGTTTCCACAGTATCTACTCATGTAATGTTTTGTTTTCGTCTTCCTAAAAGCGTAACTACTAAACTTATCAATGGTCTCCAATTTTTGGTGGAGTAATAATGGTAAATCTCCAAGTATACTTTAATTAAAATGGAAAAAGATTTTGTGGATATAAAGTGTTGGAGGTTTAGGTTTTTGGGCTACTGAAGATTTTAACACGGTTCTGGCAAAACAACTTTGGAGGTTAATTGATTATCTAAAATTCTTTCTACAAAAAAAATTCAAAGAAATGTATTCGGATTGCTACTTCTTTGGAATCAATTCGCTCATGTTTGCCATCCTATTGATGACATAGTATAATATCAGTTGGATTTTTGGTAAACAAAAACTCACTAAAGATTTGGTTTTGATATTTCTATCTTTGTACGGAACGATTTATGGATTCTCAATTCTCGCCCGAGATGGCGAGATCTATCTAACCTCGTTTAGCTTGCGTTTTACATTTTGAAAACGTAAATTTTGTTATGTTTCTAAAAACTCAATTTGAAATAACTGAATAATACAAATATGGACATTTGTCACACACACACAAAAAAACAAATATATATATATATATATATATAGCTCCGGGCTTTGGACCAGACTGGATCGGACATGTCTATGTATTGGTTACGTCAATGTCCATCTAATCAACACCCCTTTTAATATAGATAAACTGATATATACATTATATCGTGCATAAAGAAGAAAATGGATCGATGTTGTAACAAAAGCAAGTATTTCCTAATTGAAGTGTAAAGGGTCTTTCTCTTGATTAGTTTTGATGTTGGTATTACTATTAAGTTAGGAATTAGTCACTTCTCACTTTTAAAATAAGTGGATTTTAATTTGGTTAGGATTTAGTGTGAGTTAACTTTTTAGAGAGTCAAGATCTTCGTGTGTCTCCATCTCATGTACTTTATTTGTCCTGTTCTTGATTTGTTTACTAGGTTCAGTTAATTAGAAGTTAATCTACTAATTTACTTTTGTTGATTTCTTTATGGGTGATTGATGCCAATCATATTGAAGTACACAGCGAGATTATTCTGCCAATTGAATCACCATCAAATCTTTTCTTTTGGTCAACGATGATTCGAATGTATATGGACGATTTTGATGTTGACTAGACAAACGACAAGGAGTCTTATAGTGAAAAATTAGAACGTCAGGACTTGTGCGTGGTGACGACGGGAATGAATAGTTGAGATATAAAAGTATAAAATGGTACGCAGGCAGAGTCTATTCATGAAGTTCTATAAAATGGAACGCCAGTCTTAATGAATAGAAATGTAAATCTTGCTTCAATTTCTATTAGTGCACTTTATAATTGATTTTTTTCTTAACGCAAAAAAGACCGTTTAGTATGAATCGTCATCACTTGGTAGATTGACTTCATTTCTAATTCTAATTACTTGGATGTCTTGTTTTCATTTTTAAATGGAATGTTAGCTTAGGGTTCAATATTCATATATATAAATAGATAATTCATCTATGGTTAAATGGAAAGCACTATGATTCGGTACGGGCCGGGGATAATACATCAACAAAGCACGTATTTATGTGAACGTATGTGGCAATGCATGCATGTATATATATATATATGTTGTATGTGCATCATCCATCCATGAATGCATTGAATAGTCTTATATAATTACTTATATGCATGGATGCATCATGCATAAAACTATGTTATCATGAATGGTTAGGTCATGAAGGTATTATATATAGTTCCATGTGTTATTAGTATATAGTCTCTACGATTAAAAAAAAAACATAATTTGATGATTAATCAACACTCTAAGTTTTTGGTAATACACAATTAATTAACACCTGGATTAATTAAGGATTGTTAATCACGCGGTGAATTTAGTCTCTATAAAAGCAGTTGCTCACCTTCCACAACCCTCAATATCAACTCACCACCCTTCTCTCTTCGTCTCTCGTCACTCCTTTTATATTTCTCTCTCTATCTAAAAAAAAATATAAAACTCGATCGTATATAAAATCAGTAAATAAACACTTTAAAAATGGAGAAAAGAGGAGCAAGTAGTGGAGGAGAGGCAGAAGTGAGAAAAGGACCATGGACGATGGAGGAGGATTTGATTTTGATCAACTATATCGCCAACCACGGCGATGGCGTTTGGAACTCTCTCGCCAAATCTGCAGGTTCTTTATAAAACAAATTAATCATAAGAATATATAGATATATTATTGTTTATACTGTGTATATTAATGAAGTAGCTAGGGTTTCGTCATAATATGCAAAACTATATATTATTATACTAGCAACAAATGCTTTCTCTTGCGTTCGTTTCTTGTATAATAGATACTACACATGAAAGTCATATTATTTTTATTTTTATCTTTAACTTCTATTAAGTTAATATATAAAAAACGTAAGAGTTTTTTCTTGTAGAAAGGTGAAAGAACGTAGAAAATCCGTATCATATTCTTTGATTCTTTCTTTCTCTTTTTTGTTCAAGAATTCCATATTATATTCGATCCTTGTCAAAGAACCGATCTAAATCTGAAGAAGTTTTCCTGTTGTGTGATGGTCTTATAAAAATAAATTTTAGATAAATATTTTAAGGTACTAGTTATAATTATTTATATGAATGAATAGGTCTAAAACGCACCGGGAAAAGTTGCCGGCTACGGTGGCTGAACTATCTCCGACCCGACGTACGACGGGGAAATATTACGCCGGAGGAGCAACTTATCATCATGGAACTTCATGCTAAGTGGGGAAACAGGTTAGTTAGTTTACGTACTTAAATGAAACACATATATACATATACGTATAACGATGAAGAAAGGCAAAATCTTGGAACTTTGAATCGTTTATATATACTCTTGAGGCTTATACGCCACGTAGATCTTTAAAAAGAAAACAAACACAACACATTTTATGACTAAAGCAAAAAAGTGTGTGATTCCTTTGTGATAACCTTTGATCGAAGTTTGTTCTTAGCCGTCAGTTACGAGTTTTTTGCACGTGTTGGAAATTATAGCCACTAACATTATACCTTGTGCTTTTTATCAAAACAACATGAAAACCTCGTGCCTATTTCTTCAGAAACTCGTGGTACATCTTTCTAGATTTTTTTCTTCTTTCAAGTTTCATACATAATATACGCGGCTTCATTTATTTCCTTGTCTGTTTGTTTTATCCGATTTCTATTTCCATTTGTTTTATATGTAAAGAGCTGGAAAATATGGCCCAAGATTACAAGGTACAGTACATGGTTTTTTGTTAAAGTACAAGGTACACGATTCTCTAAATTCAACAATAAATGAAAAATAGTATTGCAGCTTTTTATATAAGTATGTACGATTTTGTTATCATTTTCTGTAATTAACTCCTCGGGTACTCTAATTACGGGTAAGGGTATTGCCTATTATGTATGGGTTGAAGATAATATCAACCAAATTATATTCAGTTTTAGAACATCATAACTTGAGTTAGAATTTTAAAAATAGCTTTATTACTTTTTGTTGGTGTTAAATTAGTTTCACTTTTAACAATTTACTTCGTTTGTAGCAGGCGTTCACTAAATCATAAAAGTACACTTTTATAAACCCTTTTTAACAAACAAACAAAATGTTGCGCTTTTAACAAAAGATAATTGATAAATTAACTTGACAAGGCTTATTATCACACAAAAGTATATCAAGAAAATGAAAAAGATCCAAACATAGTACATGTTATTATAAAGGACAAAAGTCATAAAATCTCGTGACGAAAAGGAAAAGCATAACTGAAATAGACGCAAACCTTAATGTTTTGGCTTTATCTAGACGTACTTGGTCCGGTGCAGTCACGGATTAGACCTCTAACCCCACAACAATCATTAACTCGCTATATCAAGTAAACTTATGTTAATGACTAAAAAGGCTGTTAAAAATATATATCAATACCAAGTAATGATGTCATTAGTCAATTAACTCTTAATTATATGATCAGGTGGTCGAAAATCGCCAAGCATCTTCCGGGAAGAACTGACAACGAAATCAAGAACTTCTGGAGGACAAGAATCCAAAAATATATAAAGCAAACTGATGTAACAGCAACAACAACATCATCCGTTGGATCTCATCAGAGCTCAGAAGTCAACGATCAAGCTGCAAGCACGTCGAGCCATAATGTCTTTTGTACACAAGATCAAGCGATGGAGACTTATTCCCCTACTACAACAACGTCGTATCAACAAACCAATATGGAATTCAACTATGGTAACTATTCAGCGGCGGCGGCGGCGACGACAACAACCACGGATTATCCGATACCTATGAACGTTGATGATCAAACCGGTGAAAACTATTGGGGCATGGATGATATTTGGTCATCAATGCATTTACTCAATGGTAACTGACTAATTATCGTACGGAAAAATATGGAATACTACTTTGAGAACTGTGATTTTTAGGTATTATGATTAGTACGGGACATGTATATGGTTTTTGCCTCGTTGTTAAGAGGTTTGGGGATACAGCTTATATATGATATTAATTATCTAAATCCTTGATAAATGTTTTGAACTTTATTGCACCCCGTTTGATGTTGTGCATAAATAAAACTAGTAGGGGTCATTTTATTTCTCGGATATACTTGTAGTAGCAAAATAATGTGTCTTGTAGGAATGTTCGTGTCATGTATATATGAGAGCACTAATTAGATTTTTATATATGATCAATTTGCTATAGATATAATGTCTTTTTAAAATTCCCACTGTTCCGTAGGGGCAGATATTTTGAAGGTATTTGACACATACTATTATTCAACCAATGAATTTGTCTAATTTTTACTTATAAGTTATAACCCATATGTTATTTTTAAATATTTTTTAACTACGGAAAAATATGAAAATTATGTAGGAGGAGTTTGGAAAATCTATAATTTCTGTGGGGAAAGATAACAAAACATCCATTTCATGAAACAAAAAAAAAAATTGACATGACCAACTTTCATAAAACAGAAAGCGTAATTGATTTTCGTTGGTTATAAAAGTAATTAATGATTGCACTCGTAATCTAAAGTTATACTGACACTAAATTCAGTGCAAACGGTTACGCTAATTGCCGTAAATGTGTCTTTCTAAAAACATCTTAAAAGGAATTTGTTGGCTCTAACTGCCAAAAATAATAAATGTGGTTGCACTACTAAACACAAGCTTCTATCCGCACATTTAACGTAATACTCAATCGATACAATTATCCATTAACCAATTGATATAACCACATTTGAATCTAAAGCTAACATAATCAGTACAATTTATTTACAATTTGTTTAAAATATAATGTTAAAATAAAGCTAGACACAGGGGAAAAAAAAAGAGAGAGAATTAAAACAGAGCGATTGCTTTAGGCGTATGGTGAAATCCAAGTGCACCTTGATAGTTATATATATATGCACACACATACACATGAGTTAGGCGTGTGTATACATACACATGTGGATCGATCTATGTACATATCACATGACGTACTCATCATGAAACATACAGAACCTAATCTTTCCAATTGCGATATGACACCTGTCACATGACAGCTGAAAATAGATAACTTTCGGTACAGTTGTCTTTGCCTTTATACAACCATTTTTATCCATTTTTGGGCATCGCCATTCAACATGTAGAACCCGACGCGAGCCTAACTTCTTTAACCAAAACCACAACCTTTAAGACGACGACGTCGACTTTAAAAAAATAAGAGAACAATTTATATAATGATTCACTTTCATTCTTGATATATCTATCCATACTTCAAAACCATAAAATATTTACATTTCTAATAAGAACAAAACGGGGTGAAAAATAAGATCCAATGAGCTAGGAAACGTAAAGACTAATTGAGCCGCAATTGTATAAGATTAATATGATAATAAAAACAAGAGAAGTCGATTATTTGCATATTTGTTCGTAAAGTAATGTGTATATGTCTGTAGATTAATTATTTGTAGAAAACTTGGAAATTGCATGGGACATGAAGTTAGGTTAGGAAGTGCGAGCACTATAGCAAGACGGCAAAAGCATTAAAGCTTTACCAAACTTTTTAACTTTAGTCTTTAGCCAACGACACACTTTGTCCGAATGAAGCATGTGTAATGGAAAAATCCAAGCTCCACTTCCTCTTCTCTATGCATAGGCTATAATAGGAATAATTGATATTTCGTTTTATTTTATTCGATGTTTTTAGATATTCATTATCTATCTGAAATTTGATATTGATTATATGTGAAGTTTTTAAAAAGAGCGAGCATACAAATACTAATTTACGGCGTCTTCGTTTTATCGGGGATAACTTAGTACATTATCTTATCCGTACTGTTTATTTACGTTATCATTCAAAGCCACTAATTATTTTATACTTCTGTTAAACTTGTAATCAGAAAAAAACTCAAAGTGAGAGACATATGTTTAAGGCTTTAAGCGATTATTTGCTCTCGAAATATTAAAAGATTCAAGTGTTGAAATGAAATTACACAATAGATACGAATTTATGCATATAACCTGAAGTACTCTTTTTTTTTTCCTGACCTGAAGTACTCTTAGCCTCAATATAGTCAGTGTATACTTTTTGATACAAGATTTTTAACATGATATCTTAAAATGAAGATTTTTCTGCTCATTCATCTTGCCTATACGTATCTCATATATATACATCAATCTCAAAAACAATTGACACACTATCCAGTTTACATGTTACATTAGTATTTCTTATAAGATAAGGAAACTCTAGCTATGCTTAATGGATATGGAATTGGGCCACATGTTTATTAATTTTACTAGGCCAACGTGTTTATCATGTGGGAATTGTCGACTTCCCACGTGAATTAAAAAGGAAAATCACATGGAGGGTCGGTCACAATTCACAAACATACAAGTAGTTTATAATGTGATACAGTTGTACAGGTTTGAAGTCCAAGCGCGGGGTTGTTTGTGATAATTTTTCTTTTAATTTTATTTATACTCGTTGATTTGAATTATGATGGTTTTGTATTAACTTTCATGTTTTTGTTATGTTTTGAGTTAACTCAACCACTAACACTAAAAAATATGAATAATTTGTTTTTTTTTTTAATTTATTAGGATATTAACACCCCGTTTATCTCGAGTTTTCTATTTCTAAAATTTTATCATGTTATAAATATTATGTTTGTTTACTTTTTTTTTTACTTCTATTAGACTATACATGTATTTGATTGAAGGTTAAAATTTATAAATATGTATATGCATTTGACTGAAGGTTAAAATTTGTAAACATATTCTTGTTTTTCACTACAATTAAATTTACATATAAAACTCCATTTCTATTTGTTTAGAAAAACAAACTCTAACTCTAATGTTTCATTAGCTTTCTATTATCTTAATTAATTTATATTCAACTTTTTAACTTGTAAACACATTATAACATTTTTAAATAGGATAAATCCTTTGAATAAAAAGTAAATATATACTATTTGAAGTTAAATATTTCTTTACTCCATCTCTATTTTATATTCCAACTTTTTGATAACTTTTAACATCAAATTATCACATACTTTCTATTAATTAATTAATTTGTATATTTTTATTAAATATGAATAAATGTAAAGAAATATGAATAGTCATATATTTAAAATATTTTAAATACAATTTAATGTTTTTGTGCTGATGTGGACACTCTAAATGGAGAGAGCAACTCCCTAATTATATATAAGATACAAATAAATAAACGTGGAAGAATTGAGTTTTTTTATCTTCTTCTTTTTTTTGCTTTGTTTGTATTTTGTAACATTGTTCTAGCCTTATGACTTAGCTGTACTTTCTATATATAGCAGGAACAATTTGTTCCCGTCTCGATGAGTTTGACATAGTTTTTCAGATAATGTTGAAGTCGGCACATCTATCCAAGAAGAATTGATTATTTTCGAGCTGTTGTTTATACTTAGTAGATAACCTGTAATTAATTATTAAATCATTTATACAAAAAGGATAAATAAATTTGGTTCATACAATTGTTAGAGCATGTATAACGCAGAGTGCTTATTAAAGTGCTTACAAGATTTTTTATTATTAAAATTGGGTTAAGCAACACTATTAAAAATTATATGTTTTCTCTGCTCCAATGGAGAGTGCTTATAGGGGTGCTTAAAAAAAACTATTTGCACAAGTTTGTTTTCTCCTACAAAAAATTATATGCACAAGTTTGTTGTCTCTACAAAAAAATTATGTGTAAATCTATAGTACTTTTACTTCTATATCAAACAAACAACTCTCTGCACAAGCTTGTTATCTCTACAAAATCTCCTTTGTTCGGTCTACTGAAAAACATGTGCGATTACTTCTGCATCTGTTAGTATTTTCAATCTGCATCTGCATTTTCACTGGTTCCTTGACAAACTTATCATCCACCACTGCATTTTCCAAGTTAAAACAACACAATCCTTGCTTAGAGAAACAAGAGATGTGTTTTGATTAATCTATTAGTGGAAGGAGGATTCATCTTTTTACCTGAGAATGGCTGAGTTTCCACAACCCCAAGTGATGTGTTTTGATTAATAACGACCATCACCAGAGACCACAAGTGCGTGGCACCTGCACAAGTTAACAATTGTTCATGCTTAGATGGAATATGCAGTTATCTGCGTAACACAGTTATGTAAACAGAGATCTTACCTTTGACTTTCTCCTTGAGGTCGTGGTGGAACATGATTTTGAAGACGTTTGAGCTAGCCGAGAGGATGGCGTTGTGAGCGGAGAGCGTACCGTCGGCTGTGTGGATTTGGGATTGTGACGTCCGATAGGATGCTTTCTTCTAGCATCCGGGATAAGCATTTGAGAGTCGTTTGTGTTGAGATTGATTGCATTGTTGTATCGTTTGGCCAAACAGGAGACGCTTCACCACCCTGTGATTTTATTTTGATTTGATTTGTGATCAAAATGAAGGCTAGAGTTATGAAACTTTGCAGCTAAACAACTTACATTCAAAGGGGAGATTTTGAGTTCCAGAAACTCAAAATCAATGGTGAATCGGCCGTGGAAGCTGGAATCCACATGCCACACACAATCGTCTATTGTACGAATCAGTTTATCATACACTGCACCACACAATACAAAGGATCATATAAGGTACTACTCATCTTTAATCATATATTTTTTTTCTGAAAACCCCTAATTCAGTTTCCACATTATAATTCAAATTCCACATGTAACGAACTCGAATCAAGAGACTATACATACCGGGAGAGATGTAGAATCTGCAATTGGGGCCAACGTTGGAGACGCGAAGAACAAATTTAGCAACAGAGGTTGCTCTTTGGAAACTCTGAGAAAGTTCTGGGAAAAGCCTCACTGAGAGATAACGATTCCTCTCTATAGACAGATGCTTTCATATCCAGAAACAGAATCAATCATAATTTTGAGAGTTAAAAAGGAGGAGGTGATTGATTACCAATTCCAAATTCCGACTTTGAAAGGATCGGAGTTTTTTGAAAGAGCAAGGAACCGAAATTTCCAATCCGCCATTGATAAATGGACCAATTTCTCACTGGAAATCGAGAAGCTTTCCAATCGAAATCGAATCACCATATGGCCTTTGAAGAGCAGCGGAGTAGTGAGAGAGAGGAGAGAGAATCGAAAGAGGAAAGTGAAGAAGAAAAAAGAGTTTTGTTTCTCTTCATTAACGATGAGCCAATAACCTGCTGCCACGTGGCACGTAAGCTTCGACGCTTCTCACACCTGGATAAGCGTCGGATTCTCCTTTTTCTTTTATTTTTGCATTAAATTTTTGCTTAGAGCTGCATTAAGCGCCCTGCGTTACACATGCTCTTAGTCGTCTCTAAGAGATATTCGACCATCCTCGATACTACCAGTGACAGTGATGTATGAGTAACTAGTAGTCTAGTAGTATAAGTAGCGTAGATAACAAAATGGATTGCGAAAAAAGAAAGACTAATGCAATTATATTTTGTTTGTTTTGGTATATCTATAAAAAAATAATGTTATGAACTAAATTCTGAAAATATATCGCATTTTATGAACTTTTGTTGTTCTTTACAGTGTGCTGTCTTTTAACTTTACGGCCTGCTTGTGAGAGAAGGCCCATATATATTGGTAGAAGGCCCAAGTGGTAAATCCGACTCAGTATTTTCTGTTGTGAATGGTTGAATCAGATGAGTTACTTCTTTTTAGTTTCTTCGTCTTTGTTCCTTACTATCAAATAGACAAATACTAATAGTGTTGTTACGTGTTCCTTGTAGTTACATCTCAATATGAGCATTTACGTGTTTCTGAAATAAAAACGATACATGTGTTAGTACTTACAGGTTCAGTTTGGAAGAGAGAATCAGAAAAACATTGTGGTTTTTTTTTTGTTTTTTTCAAATAGGTCTCCGTCCTACTCGGCTACTCCTACCATTTCATAAAAATTAACAATTATTTCATGTTTCTGTAATATATTATAGGAAGAAAAAAGAGGATTAATAAGTATGAGCCACTTGGCAGAGATATGGAGCCTAAACTCCAAGAACAGTCTTACACGATAAAAGCTTAGTTTTGTCTTAGCGGTATATTCAATTCTTCGCCCATCATCATATCCTCATCTCGACCACACTTCCCAATACCAACCACCTCATGGTCCCGACACGTGGCTTAATCTAATTTGCCATATCTTTGTTTTTCAGCATCTTCGAAGTCTACAAGTTGTAATTTTGTTATACCTCACAAGAGAATCGAACCAGTTGAATCTATGAAATCTTATCATAAGAGTAAGATAATATTTTTCTGCCAAAACAAAATGTTTCTTTGAACACCAGAATCAACGATAATGTACGATCAAATTCTACTTGATGATCAATGAATTAAGGTGCGGTGTCGCTATATACAAATCAGATTTCAAGTTTTCAAATTAGATGCATCTACATATAGTTTAGCAATTTCGTTGTGACGATTTGATTTTGTTTTATCATTATTTTTCTTTACCAATGATGATGGGCCAAGCAAGTCGTGCAAGCAAAGAGCTAAGCTGGGCCCCACTGTATAACTTGTGCCAGAAATGGACGGTCCAGATCTAGCGTAATCCTTTTCTCAACTTAATCTTCACCTTTCGTTCATAAGGAGGTCAAGGAGGGGTACAATCGTAGTTTAACAACACAATCGTCGAATATCATCAATTCACTGGTGGAAAAGATCCGATAACAGAACAAAATTTCTATTCGCCTCAAAAAATCATTTTCTCGGGAAAATTAAAAATACATAACATGTTAAGGATTTTGGCGAGAAACTAAGCGCCATGGGAAGAGCGTTCGTGTATGTAATTCTCGGAGGAGGTGTTGCTGCTGGTTATGCAGCTCTCGAATTCACCCGGAAAGGTGTCTCCGAAGGAGAACTCTGCATCATTTCTGAAGAACCCGTAAGCACTCCAAATCTCTCTCTCTCATTTTCTCTCATGAATAGATTTGACTTTTGTTATTTGATAGTGAGAGGAGAATCTATGCTTTGCTTTTTCCTATCTTGATGTTGTTGGTGGCCCGTCCTTTATTGCTTCCTTCAAGGAAGTATTTATTACTTATTAGCTCTCTCACCTGAATTTTTCACTGACTCCGTGGTTGGTTTTTCTGTCATTAGTTTCGATAGTTCTTAGCGTTGATCATCCAAAGTTTATTTGGATTTCGTTTTGGATTTGGTGGTTTGATGATTATTTGATTAGCTTGTTCTCTGTTCTTCTGTCCCTTACTGCTAGAGCTTCTCTGATTCTTTATACTAATAGGGTTTAATTGCTAGTACACGTACTTAGTGTGGATACCTTCAAGATTTTTGAAGTTCATGTGCACTGAGTCTTAATTGCAATTCATGCTTAGGTTATATGTGAAATTAGGACGCTGAAATGAATCCAAGATATGGTGGAATTTTTTATTATAGTGAAGTTATATGGATGTCGTTACATTGAGTCTCATAAGTAGCTTGCAAGAATCGTATGTTTGTTTCGCTGTGTAAGTAATTAGCTGTTGTGTTGACTTTTCTCTAGGTTGCACCATACGAGAGGCCCGCGTTAAGCAAAGGTTTTCTGCTGCCAGAAGGTAAGAGAAACCTGGTAACTTACGTTTTCTGCATTTGGAGTTTGGAGAAGCTAAGAAATTTAGTTATGTTACTCATAAGGCTTTGTATCTGCAGCTCCTGCACGGCTTCCTTCTTTCCACACTTGTGTTGGAGCTAATGACGAGAAGCTCACACCAAAATGGTACAAGGAGCATGGTAACTACGTCTGCACTCTTGATTTTTGAGAAAGTACTACTTTACTTGGGCTACGACTATGAGAGTGATTTCTGACAGTTTTTTGTAAAATATTTTTGTCAGGAATTGAGTTGGTCCTTGGAACTCGTGTTAAGTCCGTTGATGTGAGGAGGAAGACTCTTTTATCGAGCACCGGGGAGACTATTAGTTACAAATTCTTGATCGTTGCAACAGGTGCCAGGGTATGGATTTGCACAATAATAGATATGATATTATCGTCCTTGAGATTTTACAGTCTGTTATTACTTATTATCATTGAAGTCCTAAGTTGATTGAATGACTGTTAGATGCAGTATCAGCTCACTCCTCTGAATATTGCTAAACGGATTTGTGCTATTTGAAAGCTTAGAACTTAGAACTGTTAAAGTCATAGCCTTATTCTTGTCACATGTGGCTTGTGCAAGCAGGCGTTGAAGCTCGAAGAATTTGGGGTGGAAGGATCAGATGCTGAAAATGTTTGTTATTTAAGAGATCTGAGCGATGCAAATAGGCTTGCCACTGCCATGGAATCAAGCTCCAATGGTAATGCTGTTGTCATCGGCGGTGGCTATATTGGCATGGAGTGTGCTGCATCTTTAGTGATCAACAAAATTAATGTGACCATGGTTTTTCCAGAGGCTCACTGCAGTAAGTACTCTCGATTTTTTTACTCTGACTTGCGTGTAAAATAGAAAGCTTGTGTCTGTGTGGTTGGCTTGACCTTTTTCAGTTTCTAATTGACAGTGGCCCGTCTCTTTACGCCCAAGATTGCAAGTTTGTATGAAGATTTTTATAGGGCTAAAGGAGTGAAATTCGTCAAAGGAACGGTTTTGACATCATTTGAGTTTGACTCCAATAAAAAGGTTAAATATTTTCTTTAGCTTGAGATTCAACTTGAAAGATGTTTGGTACTTTGCTTCTATGCATAGAACTAAAAGATGGAAATAATCAATCTTTGGTGTGTTTGAGGATTGTTTGGTGTGTTTGTTCATTGATATGAGCTTCTTGGGATTTCGATTTGCAGGTTACAGGGGTTAATCTCAAAGATGGGAGCCAGTTACCAGCAGATTTGGTTGTGGTTGGAATCGGAATACGTCCAAACACAAGCTTGTTTGAAGGACAGTTAACAATAGAGAAGGGAGGGATAAAAGTAAACGGCAAAATGCAGTCAAGTGACAGCTCGGTTTACGCAATAGGCGATGTAGCTACATTTCCAGTGAAACTATTTGGCGACATGAGGAGGCTTGAGCACGTGGACTCGGCTAGGAAATCCGCACGGCACGTAGTTTCAGCCATCATGGAGCCAGACAAGACCGGAGAGTTTGACTACTTGCCGTTTTTCTACTCAAGGGTGTTCGCCTTCTCATGGCAATTCTATGGAGACCCTACAGGTGAAGTTGTACACTTTGGGGAGTTTGAAGAGGGCAAAGCGTTTGGAGCGTATTGGGTGAAAAAGGGTCACCTTGTTGGGTCGTTTCTTGAAGGAGGGACTAAAGAAGAATACGAAACTATCTCCAAGGCGACAAAACTAAAACCAGCTGTGATTGATTTGGAAGAATTGGGAAGAGGACTCGAGTTTGCTCAGACCGTGGTGAGTCAGCAGATAGCTGCGGAAGTTAAGGAGGTTCAGAGGTCTGAGATGGTGAGGCAGTCTTCAGGAGCGGTGATGATGGATAAGCCTTTGCATTTGTGGCACGCGGCGACTGGCGTTGTTGTGGCTGCATCTGTGGCTGCGTTTGCGTTTTGGTATGGTAGGAGACGCCGTAGATGGTGAAAACTGAAAACCTCTTTTGCAGGCTTTTAAAAATGGTGGGGGTTTTGGGATTCATTGGAAATGGGAACTTGCTGTTGTTTGTAGCATTGGTGGGGAAAATATAGAAGGGAGAAATGTGGGAAACTACTCGATGTGATTACATTGTTACACGATTATTATATCTTTCTTTTGAAATACAGAATTGTTTCACTACAAACTTTACAAAGTACAAGATTTGATTCAAAGTTTAAGGATGGAATGGTGCTGATAATCTTGCGGTTAGTATCATTAGAGCTATAAGAAAGTTATACAAGCAGCTAAATCAATAAGGGCGTTTGGTCTAGTGGTATGATTCTCGCTTTGGGTGCGAGAGGTCCCGAGTTCGATTCTCGGAACGCCCCTATTATTTTAAAACTTCATCTATGCGCATGATAGCAAGGGTACGATTTTTTTGAATTGTCCGAGTTACCCCTTATCCTTGGTTTTTCTATCTCCTCATCTTCGTCAACACTCGTACAAAATTAAACCAGTCGAAAACAGAGAGACACAAAACAAATCCGAAGAAGCCCAAAGAGTGAAAATGGCAGCGACGACTCTCTCCATTGCAAGCACAATCCGTTCCTCGTCTTATCTCACTCCCGCTTCCGCCCATGGCTTCCCTTCCCGACCCTCTGCAATCGAATTTCCGTCTCGCTTCGGCGCTTCGTCTTCCACATTGACCCACCGCGCAACCCACCTCCGTCCCATTGCCGCCGTTGAAGCTCCGGAGAAAATCGAGAAGATTGGATCGGAAATCTCGTCTCTGACCCTCGAAGAAGCCCGCATCCTCGTCGACTACCTCCAGGACAAGTTCGGTGTCTCGCCACTCTCTTTAGCCCCAGCCGCAGCGGCTGTCGCTGCTCCGGGAGACGGTGGTGGTGCGGCGGCTGTAGTGGAAGAGCAGACTGAATTCGATGTGATTATCAACGAAGTGCCCAGCAGTTCTCGTATCTCAGTCATCAAAGCGGTTAGAGCTTTGACTAGCTTGGCGTTGAAGGAGGCGAAAGAGCTCATCGAAGGGTTGCCGAAGAAGTTCAAGGAAGGCGCGACGAAGGATGAAGCTGAAGAAGCCAAGAAGGTTCTCGAAGAAGCTGGCGCCAAGGTTTCCATTGCTTAACGTTTTTTAAAAAATTATTGGAATGTATGTTTTTTTTTGTGTTGTTACTTGTTAGCATAGTTTGGGTCTGGAATTGTTGATTCAGCTTTTGAGAAATTATTGTAATTTGAACGTACTTCGTTTCCCGGAACTGATTTTAGCAATTGGCCTGCTTCGTTTCGTTAGCCGGAGATAATGTTGTGTTAATTGTTGGAAATGCCTTGGCTAGAGAGAGTCACTCACACTCACTGACACACGAGGGAGCTGTGGTTTTTATGTTATGTAACTCAGCTTCTTCTTATCCCCGAGCATGTTTGGATCTCTTTAATGGTTAAGCTGTTATCTCAGTTTTCGTATTTGTGTTTCTTATAAAGCTCATTTATATCGCATATATAATATATACTATTTGGGTTGCACTATCCAGCTTCAGAATCAGTTTTTTTTAGTGACAAATTAGTGAAATCAACTATCTTTGCAGTGTCTGATCCGTAGAACTATCTAAACGAATACCTGTTTAATTTCGCTAGATAGTGATGTATGTGAGACATACAGTATTTGACGTTCAATAAGTATAGTCATAGTCACAAATCACAATCGAAGGTAGCTTGGTACGTAATATGCTTATTTGGGACTGTCTTAAAGAATCGAAGAGGAAGAAGTAAGGGGGGAGGGGAAGAAGATGAAGTTCTCCGAGATGCTACTATCCAATTGACTGATCAACAATAATTAAATTCTAGAGAATGAGATACCATGGGCCAAATAAGCCCATCTCCCAAACTTGGATCGTATCAAAAACCTTTCTTGATCATTTTCACCACCTTAAGAAACCTCAACAACCAAACATCATCAGTTGGTGATAAAATAAGGGTATAGAGTGTAAATGTACAAGGAGTGAATATGGTCACAAAACCTTTCACTCATTCACAATACACAAAGGCATGTGACCTAATTCCGGAGCAGATTTGATACTATATAGCAGCACGAGTCAGGTGAATATAAACCTCTTTTCGCAAGGGTTGTCCTGGCTCCTGAGGTGAAGTTGATAACTTGAAGTTGCCACAAAAAGAACATTTCCAACCCAAAAGAAATATTTGATACAAGGTAATCATGTTTCTTTGTTTAGATACAGGATATAAGATATTGTTGATGATCTTGTGATTATAGTATTAGTAGACAAATATAAACGTAAACTAACCATTTCGATCAGTGAGGGCGTTTGGTCTAGTGGTATGATTCTCGCTTTGGGTGCGAGAGGTCCCGAGTTCGATTCTCGGAACGCCCCTCCCTTTTTAACTTCTCAAGGTTATTTTCGTCAAAAAAAAGAAAATCCCGTCCAACTTTCATCTATAGGTGCATGATAGCAATCGTACGTTTTCTTTAAATTGTCGAAATTACCCCTTATCCTTGGTTTTTCTATCCTCTCATCTTCTTCAGCTCTCTCGTACAAACAAACACACTCGCAGAGACACACAAATCAAATCCCCAAGAGAAAGTGTGAAAAATGGCATCGACGACTCTCGCCATCGCAACCACAATCCGTTCCTCTGCTTTCACCACTTCCGCTTCCGCCCATGGCTTCCCTTCTCGACCCAACGCAATCGAATTCCCATTCCGCCTTGGCGCTTCTTCTTCCTCCACCCTCAGCCACCGCGCAATCAACATCCGTCCCATTGCCGCCGTCGAAGCTCCTGAGAAAATCGAGAAGATTGGATCCGAGATCTCATCCCTCACCCTCGAAGAAGCCCGCATCCTCGTCGACTACCTCCAGGACAAATTCGGCGTCTCGCCACTCTCTTTAGCCCCAGCCGCGGCGGCTGTCGCTGCTCCGGGTGACGGTGCTGCGGCGGCTGTAGTGGAAGAGCAGACCGAATTCGACGTGATTATCAACGAAGTACCCAGCAGTTCTCGTATCTCAGTGATCAAAGCGGTTAGAGCTTTGACTAGCTTGGCCTTGAAGGAGGCGAAGGAGCTCATCGAAGGATTGCCGAAGAAGTTCAAGGAAGGCGCGACGAAGGATGAAGCTGAGGAAGCCAAGAAGGTTCTCGAAGAAGCTGGTGCTAAGGTTTCAATTGCTTAAGTTTTATAAGTTGAAAAAAATGTGTTTTTTCTTGGAATTTGTGGGTCTTGTTTTGTGTTGTTAGTATAGTTTGCGTTTGGAATTGTTGAGAAATTATTGTAATTTGAATCAATTTCGTTTCCCATTACGGATTTAGCTTTCGACAAAGTGATTCATTTGCTGCACATAACGTGTTTGTTGAAATGCCTAGCTGAGAAGAACAAAATATGGTTGCGTTTATGTATTAGTCTACTGCGATTGAAACCAAACGCTAAAATCGGATTGGCAGAAGAAACGAAAAGAGAGGTTGAAAATCGAGTTTGACGTTGTTTCTACATTTTTATTAGATTCAATCTTCGTGTTATCGTGTACATGTCAGAAAACAAGTGTTTTAACTTTTAAGATTATGTAAACAACGTACGACAAAAAAAAGCTAAAACGAAACCAATATGGGAAGATATCTCCCTGAATAAAATAGATACACAAAGCAAAAAGCATTAGTCACAAATTCAACTTTTTTCCTAATTGTTTTGGGAAAATCGAAAAACGAAAACTTTGCGCCGCAGGAAACGAGGAAGAAGGTGTATCTAGATTCGCTGCTCGAAACTCGAAATTTCCCGCTTCCCCTGTTTTTCAGGTAAATTGGTTTTCTAATTTCTCCTTAAAGGTGTAAACTTTGCGTGTTTTCTCATGAAAAAAACCCTCCTTTTTTCTTCTATAAAGTTTAATGTCTGATTTTGGATAGTTGTTGTTTTCTGAATGTTGAGTTTGCTTTTCTTGTAGTCTAGGTTTTGTTGAGAGAAGGAGACGATGGGGAATTTCGGATCGACCGGTTCTAGGGTTTCTGGAAACGGAGAGCCAGCTGTTTTAGGTCACCTGAACGGTGGTTCTGATGACAATTTGAAGGAAAACGATGCTAAGATGGAGAATGTTGTTAACGACTCTGGACCAATCGATGATTGTGTGATGAGTGAAGCTTCTTCGTTAGTGAATTCGAAGGAAAGAGATAATTTTGAAGAAGAAGAAGAGTTTGAAGATGAAGATGAAGAAGAGTTTGAAGATGTAGATGAAGATGAAGAAGAAGAGATTGACGATGAAGATGAAGATGAAGATGAAGAAGAAGAAGAAGAAGAGAATGACGATGAAGTTGAAGAAGAAGAAGCGAATGACGATGAAGATGAAGAAGAAGAAGAAGAGAATGGGTTCCAAGTGGGAGACTTTGTGTGGGTAGAAGAAGTCAATTGTCATAAATGGTGGCCCGGGAAGGTTTATGATTCATCAGATGCTTCAGACTTGGCTTTGAAGCAAATCGAGAGAGGTAGATTACTTGTGGCGTATTCTGGGGATGAGAAGAATTTCGCCTGGTGCAATCCATCGCAACTGAAACCGTTTCTGGACAATTTCAAAGAGTTTTCCAAGACGAGTGGTTCAAGAGGCTTTCTCAGAGCTGTGGAAGAAGCTGTGAGAGAGATTGGTGAACATGTTGAGCATCTGTTGGTCTGTGATAAGGCGGCTCTGGTTAGTACTACTCCTGTAGCTGTGAATTCCGGGATAAGAAGAGGAGTTCTTGTGCCTAGTGTTAGAAGAGAGATTGTGTGTTCTTTGGTTCTTGAAAAACCTGGCATAGTTCTTGAAGATGTTAAAAGCCTTGCGGTGACGGTTGGTTTCAGTGATTTGGTAGAGACTGAGGTTTTGAGGAGGAAGATATCGGCTTTGTATTGGCGTAGAGGAAGGTTTGGTTTGGCTGAGTTTGGTGAAGAGGGATATATCATAGGACTTGAAGACAGAGAAGATGAAGTTCTTGACAAGTCTTCTTGCCAGGTGAGATCATTGAGAAAGTGCTCTGTGATGATTGCTAGTAAGAAGAGGAAGTTTGGTGATGAAGTTAGTAAAGTTGATGTTGATGATGTAGCAACTACTGGCTCTACTAATTTGAGGAGAAGACTGAGTGAGGTTTCTAAGATTGAAAACGGTGATATGAAGCAAGTGGAAGAAGTTAGTAATGGCAAGAGTAGGAAGAGGAAGAACAGAAAGTGTGTGGATGATGATGATGATGGGGTTGAGAGAAGAGAAGAATCAAACGACTCAAACCATTTGGAAGAGAGTGAGAAGAAGGAGGAAATAGCTATTGATTTGTTAACTCCATTGGCTTCACTCTGCAAAAGGGTAAAGGTTGAGGTTTCTCCAGTTGCTGAAATGAACAGTGGAAGTGGCGAGAGTTTGATGCAAACAGGTAAGAGGGAGAGGAAGAAAAGCAAGTATCTGTCTCCTGAGTACATGACAGATTTTGGTTTGAGAGGGAGAAGGATCAAGATCGAGTCTGAGTCAAGTCAGATCAAAGTAACAGAGCGAATGACGAAGAATACAGATGAAAAGGTGATCAATCTCGTGAGATTTGGAGCTACACCAGAGGAAATGCTGAAGCTAATCCGTGAAGCAGCTCTTGGTACAGAATATTTTGAAGAGGATAATAGCTCGAGTGAAATGATAAGAGAGTTTGTGTCCATTTACCGAAGCTTTACATATCATGATGGGGCCAATAGCAACATTCACAAGAGAAACATTTCAGATGAAGAGAAGCAGCAAACCAGAAATGAAGAAATGGAGAAGAGAAAGAGAGAAGATGAGAAGGGGATTTCAGGTGTTGAGGTATTTATCAAGACTGAAGAAGATGAAACCGGAGGTAGAGAGGGTGTAATGGAAATAGAGTGTTTGAAAGAGAAGCTAGAGGAGATGAGAGGATTGCTGGATCAATCAGAGGGAGAGATTACAGAAGAATTGAAGAGGAAACTTGTAGATGGATCAAGAAACTTGCTGGACAAGGTAAGCAAGATGATTGTCCGTTCGTCTTAAAGTCTTTTGATTATAGGATCATGTTTGTTTATTGTAGTTGAAGAGAAGACTCTAGCTTTTAGGAGATGCACAGTTTCAACTTTCAATTCAAAGCCTGAGACTTTTTTTTATTTATGGAGAACCAAAAGCGTTGACATTTGTTATGTGGTTCATTTTTGTAGGCCCAATGGGCCAGTGACTGACACACTGAAAATAAACTCCACAAATAATCTTAAGAGCGTAAACGAGATGATACCGTTTAATGGGCTTTCATCAATGGAATAAGCCCAATTAGTATCTATAAATACGGTTCGCGGTTCTTGTCCTTTTCCATCATTGACCAAAGCAAAACCTAATTCTAAATCCTCTCTTCTCCGCCGCTTCTGTTTCTCTGGTTTGCTAGTTAGATCTCTGTTAAGTGGTTTTTTTGTAATCGTTGTTTTTTTGTAATCGTTGTTTTTGAAAGTATTGGTTTTTGGGGCGAGGATGATTAATGCTTTATATTTCTGACACCTCTTGTATGAGAAGAGTCTGATAAACTCTTCTTTGAGCACATTATGCAAAAATTCTGAGCCTCCTTTTTTCTTTTGAGAATTTCTTTTATTGTTTGTACTTTTGTTTTCTGATCTCGAAATTATTGGGTTGGTTGCGATGATTGTAAAAGTAATTCCTCGTACTGAAAGCCGTTGGCTTGATAGACTCACATTACACCCATAGAATATGAGCACTACCCTTTTTTTTGTCAAAATCTATTTCTTTCACTTTGCTTTAGTTTTTTTTGGAATCTAATTGCTTTTGTCGGAATTTTATGATTCGTTTTAATTTTGGTTTGGTTTTCTGGCGAGGATGATTAATGCTAAATATTTCTGACACCTCTTGTATGAGAAGAGTCTGATAAACTCTTCCTTGAGCACATTATGCAAAACTCTGAGCCACTAAATTTTTTTTAATATTGAATTTTTTTTTTGTTTTTGATTTTATTGGAGATGGAATTGGGTTTAATGCGATGATTGTAAAAGTAATTCCTCGTACTGAAAGCCATCGGCTTGATAGACTCACATTACACCCATAGAATATGAGCACTACCCCTTTTCTCCAATTCTTTTTTTTATTCCATATTCAATTGGTTTCTCGCTGATCATTTTAAGATGGGAAAAAATTTCTTAGCTTTGATAGTCCATATTTTGGTCGATGATGATAAACATTAAGGCTTGTTTCTCAAAACATTCGCAGTTGCCGCCTAAGGCTTTCGCCTTTCGCCGGGCTTGAGAGCTTATGATGTTTTTATCCTTCCTTGGATGTCTGAGACCACTTTGTTTTTTGTTTGAAATCGTGAATTCTAGTCTTTGTGGTCGGTTGATGATGCTTAAAGAATCTGTTAGGTGGATCAACATACTAGCTTTTTGTCCATAATGAACAACGACTTCTCATTTTGATTCAAGAACTATAAACAATGCCAAATCAAAAGCATTGTAAAATATAAATGACAACCTCCATCCTAAGTTAGTTATCAACATATTTTCCCTTAAACAAATCTGTAGACTATACTCTAAACAAACCAACCTAAAAGAAAAGTACTGAACCATGACATATTAAAAAGATTGTACATCTTATTTGTGTTCATTTTTTGTATGAGAAATGTGTATCACTAAAACCGTGATCAAAGAAATGTGTATCACTGAAACCGTGAACATTTTTTGTAAGAGATGTCAAAAGTGACTCATCTTAAAATTCGGTATAGTGTGGTTATATCAGTATGGCTAGAACTCAAACAAAATTCCAAAGTGTAATCCAGGTAAACCATTTTCCTTCACCCAACAATCGATCGCATTCAAAGCATAATTCAGAAGTTGTAATTCTCCACAAATCTGGATTCAGAGCAAACAGACAAAATGTAAAAATAAAGCAAAAGTAATTATAAAAAAGAGGCACTTCTGAATTGGTTTTTAATCATCAAATCAAAGAAGATGAAACTCACAAACCTTCTGTATTAATCGATGCACTGGCGCGATTGAGCTGAGAACATGCATTCGCCGTAAACCCGTGTGACCGATGCCAGTTAACCCGTTAGCCCAAACGGTTCTACCCGCCAGATAATGGGCCTAAATATTTAAAGCCCGCCCAGATTGCCCTCTTTTAAGGAAAGTTGAAGAATATATAGTTGGATTCATTGAACCGGTTTGGTTAACAAATTACAATTGAAGCTAGCGGGAAGGAGCGCCTCCAAAGAATTTCAAACTAAAAAAGTGAGAATTCTCATTTTCTTCTAAATAAATGAAATTAGATTCTTAATAAATTACAGATCTGCCACTGCCCTTTATTTGCCTTTCGCTGCTTTCCCTCTTCTCTTTCCCCCAAATTCATCATTTCCGTTTTCCGATCGAAGGTTTGGGTTTCTTCCCGATTCCTCTCAGTTAGGGTTCCAAAGCGAACGATTTCTAATCCATTTTCGTTTCTCTTTGCTGTTAGGGTTTCGGATTGCTTTGTGATTTAAGAGATGGGTCAGATCCAGTACTCGGACAAATATTTCGATGATACTTTTGAGTACAGGTAAGCTTTCAATTTCAGTTCGCTTCTCATCCCGTTTTAATGGATTCTTCTGGATTTCTAATCATCGCGTCTGTTTCTGGTTTTTGCTCTCACAGGCACGTCGTACTTCCTCCTGAAGTTGCAAAGCTCTTACCGAAGAATCGTATTCTATCGGAAGTAAGCTTCCTCCTCCTCTACTTAAATCGTTTTTCGTGGAATTGTTGATTGTGATCTAGTCCTAGAATCACTTCAAGGCTATGTGATTTTTCGACTTCTCGTTTACATGTTTTGAGAAATTCAAGTTTGGAAAATTGAATAAGTAGTTATGGCTTAGAATTTGAAGTCGCTCATTCGTGCCTCTGTGATTTTCTTCTGCCCTGATTCGATTACAGCTTTTGCAAATACAAAAACACTATTTCTGTAGAAGCATCTTCTCGGTAACAATGGCCATCGCTGTTACAACATCTTACACTTCTGACTGCATACATTTGAAAACAAAAGTCAGAGATTTGGCTTCACACATAGCTCTTGCTTAAACTGCTTTGACATATCTGCCTTCTCTTCTGCTGCATCATTACTCTCCATGTTCTTGATCATGTTCTTTTCCTTGAAAGATTACTATAGTGCTACCATTATCTTGTTTACAAATTTAAAAATTGAAACGGGGTATTATGATGAAGATGTTCTAGACAATCCCAGTAGCTTTTGAATACCTGGTTTGAATTTTGATCAAGAGGTGAAGTAAACACTAGTCTTTGTGTGTCAATTTGGTATATGCAGAGTGAATGGCGTGCAATAGGAGTCCAGCAAAGCCGAGGATGGGTTCATTATGCTATTCATCGTCCTGAGCCACACATCATGCTCTTTAGGAGGCCTCTCAACTACCAGCAGGAGAATCAAGCTCAAAAGTAGAATGATCACCATTATCATATCGGTTTATGTCTCTCGTAAACAACTACATTCCCCCTTGTTTCCTTTTGTTTGTTTATGCTCATGAGTTCTCTCTCAGTTGAGAATTATATGAGTTTGTAGAATCAAGTTTTTTATGTTATGTGACTCAGCTTCTTCATAACCTTGAGTTTGTTTGGATCTCTTTAATGGTTAAAGCTCTCATTTCATCGCCCCACTATTGTGGTTTTGTGCTCATCGATTTCATCGCATGGTTTACTAGGTTAATACGAGATAGTAAACCTGAAGCTTCTTCTCCAAGATGACAAGTCTCTAGCCGATTTCACAGACCTGCCTATGCCAAACAAAAGCATTCTAAAATAAATGACAACCTCCATGCTAAGTGATGTTATCAACGTATTTTATCTTAATTTAAGCAAATCTGCAGAGTACTACTCCGACAAACCAATTCAAAAGGAAAGAGCCATACAACTTACAAGCCATTAAGACATTAATCAGATTTTATATCTTATTTATATTTGTGTTCGTTTCTGATTTGAGAGTTGTGAATATTTAAGTGGAGGCTATTCTTGCAAATTAAAGATCTCTCATCTCTTTGTTAACTTAAGTTAAGTTATTTCGTTTTCACATACAAAATCCAAAAAGTATAATATAATGTAAACCCGCTAGATGAAGATGAAGCATCTCGTACGACCAGCAGCAGATGAAGCAAAATCCATATGGACTGACAAATTTGGTTTCACCAAAATGTTCGAAGAGGAGGCATCTATGTCTATGTGTATCTATAAAACTGGTCAATAAACTTATATCAACTCCCTATTGAATCACATCTCTAGATACACACATTTGTCTTTGTGTGTAGGTTTAGGTGAATGAATATAGACAAGACTACTCGGTGATGGTCTTCCATGGAACATCTATGTTGAGAAAGACAGTTGCTGTAAAACCTGAAAACAGTATGGAGGAGTAAAGCTCAAATAGATTTCATCCGAACAAGTCTTGTTTCCAGAGATATCTCAAAACTAAAATACATGTATGGATGAGCACAAAACCACAATAGAGCGATGAAATAACAGCTTAACAATTAAAGAGATCCAAACAAACTCAAGGTTAAGAAGGAGTTTACATAACATAAAAAGCTTGATTCTACAAACTCACATAATTCTCAACTGAGAGAGAACTCATGAACATAAAACAAAGAAAAGGGAACAAGGGGAATGTAGTTGTTTACGAGAGACATAAACAGATATGTTATTGGTGATGATTCTACTTAGCAATCCCATGCTGAGCTTGATGCTCCTGCTGGTAGTTGAGAGGCCTCCTGAAGAGCATGATGTGTGGCTCAGGACGATGAATTGCATAGTGAACCCATCCTCTGCTTTGCTGGACTCCTATTGCACGCCATTCACTCTGCATATACCAAAATTGCAAAAACTGTTTACTTCACCTCTCGATCAAACTTCAAACCAGATATTCAAAAGCTACATAGTAATCTTTTACGGAAAAAGAAGATGATCCAGAACCTAATGCAGCAGAAGAGAAGGCAGAAAAGTCAAAACAGTTTAAGCAAGAGCTATGTGTAATTTTGATTTCACATGTATGCAGTCAAAATTGTTAGATGTTGTAACAGCGATGGCCATTGTTACCAAGACTAGTTTCAAGAAATGCTTCTTTTACAGAAATGATAAACACGAAGAGTATAATAGTCTTTTTCAATCGAATCTGGGCAAAAGAAAACCACAGAGCCACGAATGAGCAACTTCAAATTCTAAGCCAAAACTAGTTATTCGAAATTCCAAAGTTGAATTTCTCAAAACTTTCTTAAACATGTAAACGAGAAATCGACAAATCACATAGCCTTACTGTAATTCAAGGATTACATCGCAATCAACAATTCCATGAGAATACCACAGTGATTATATCACAATCAACAATTCTACCAAAATCGATTAAGTAGAGGAGGAAGCTTACTTCCGATAGAATACGATTCTTCGGTAAGAGCTTGGCAACTTCAGGAGGAAGTACGACGTGCCTGCGAGAGAGAAACAAACGCGATGATTAGAAATCCGAAAACTCCAGAGTGAATTGAATTTGAAAGCTTACCTGTACTCAAAAGTATCATCAAAGTATTTGTCCGAGTACTGGATCTGACCCATCTCTTAAATCACACAGCAATCCAAAACCCTAGCAACAAAGAGAAACGAAAATTGAATCAGAAATCGTTCGCTTTGGAACCCTAAGTGAGATTTCGGGAAGAAACCCAAACCTTCGATCGGAAAACGGAAATGATGAATTTGGGGGAAAGAGAAGAGGGAAAGCAGCGAAAGGCAAATAAAGGGCAGTGGCAGATCTGTAATTTATTAAGAATCTAATTTCATTTATTTAGAAGAAAATGAGAATTCTCACTTTTTTAGTTTGAAATTCTTTGGAGGCGCTCCTTCCCGCTTAGTTTCAATTGTAATTTGTAAACCAGACCGGTTCAATGAATCCAATTATTTTTATTTTTTTGGTTTTTAAATCCAATTCAACTTTCCTAACATTTTTTTTTTGGTAATGCTTCAACTTTCCTAACATCCCTAATATATTAAAAGAGAAAACACTATAAAATAAACCTTTGTCTCATGTGTTATTAACAGAAATGCCATGCTGATGTGTCAACACCAGGTTCACTTTCAAGGTTAGTTTTAATTAAGACAAACATTACTAGACTAATTACATGTTATGCCATTCATATTTGGTTAGAGAATGAAATATATATGATTAATTTAGTCAGAAAAATAATTATTAATGAAAATTATTTTCTTTCAGTTTCCTTATTTGGTAATGACGAAAATTTAATTTATTAGTCAATCAATCAGTAAAATATGGAAAGTTTTATTCAATTGTATTATATTAATTGTTTAAAAATTAATTTATTCATCTATCATTTTTGTTTAGCTTTACTTTCAAGAATAAATTATATCATCACATCAAAATATTTTAAAAAATAAAATTAGTTTTTTCTATATATGCTATGGTTTGAATTTTTAAAAATGAAGCAAATCTCTAAAAATGTTAAATGTATTATATTTTGGGATAATAGTTCAAAAACCTATTATAAAATAGGATCCAAATAATGATCAACCATAATCACAAATAGGAAAGAAAAATTTACCATGTTTGAAAATCTTTAAAATTTATTTTATTCGATTTAATTTGGTTCTTTAATTGAATTAAATAATTAAATCATTTTTAAATATTTTGGTTTGATCAAAATTTTAAAGGTAATAAATTATATCCCTAATATATTAAAAGAGAAAACACTATAAAATAAACTTTGTCTCATGTGTTATTAACAGAAATGCCATGCTGATGTGTCAACACCAGGTTCACTTTCAAGGTTAGTTTTAATTAAGACAAACATTACTAGACTAATTACATGTTATGCCATTCATATTTGGTTAGAGAATGAAATGTATGATTAATTTAGTCAGAAAAATAATTATTAATGAAAATTATTTTCTTTCAGTTTCCTTATTTGGTAATGACGAAAATTTAATTATTAGTCAATCAATCAGTAAAATATAGAAAGTTTTATTCAATTGTATTATATTAATTGTTTAAAAATTAATTTATTCATCTATAATTTTTGTTTAGCTTTACTTTCAAGAATAAATTATATCATCACATCAAAATATTTTAAAAAATAAAATTAGTTTTCTTCTATATATGCTATGGTTTAAATTTTTAAAAATGAAGCAAATCTCTAAAAATGTTAAATGTATTATATTTTGGGATAATAGTTCAAAAACCTATTATAAAATAGGATCCAAATAATGATCAACCATAATCACAAATAGGAAAGAAAAATTTACCATGTTTGAAAATCTTTAAAATTTATTTTATTCAATTTAATTTGGTTCTTTAATTGAATTAAATAATTAAATCATATTTTTAAATATTTTGGTTTGATCAAAATTTTAAAGGTAATAAATTATATCCCTAATATATTAAAAGAGAAAACACTATAAAATAAACCTTTGTCTCATGTGTTATTAACAGAAATGTCATGCTGATGTGTCAACACCAGGTTCACTTTCAAGGTTAGTTTTAATTAAGACAAACATTACTAGACTAATTACATGTTATGCCATTCATATTTGGTTAGAGAATGAAATATATATGATTAATTTAGTCAGAAAAATAATTATTAATGAAAATTATTTTCTTTCAGTTTCCTTATTTGGTAATGACGAAAATTTATTTATTAGTCAATCAATCAGTAAAATATGGAAAGTTTTATTCAATTGTATTATATTAATTGTTTAAAAATTAATTTATTCATCTATCATTTTTGTTTAGCTTTACTTTCAAGAATAAATTATATCATCACATCAAAATATTTAAAAAAAAAAATTAGTTTTTTTCTACATATGCTATGGTTTGAATTTTTAAAAATGAAGCAAATCTCTAAAAATGTTAAATGTCCCACATGATTATATTTTGGGATAATAGTTCAAAAACCTATTATAAAATAGGATCCAAATAATGATCAACCATAATCACAAATAGGAAAGAAAAATTTACCATGTTTGGAAATCTTTAAAATTTCTTTTATTCGATTTAATTTGATTCTTTAATTGAATTAAATAATTAAATCGTATTTTTAATATTTTGGTTTGATCAAAATTTTAAACGTAATAAATTCTAATAACTTATCATATAAGTTAAATTATTTTAGTTATTTAAAATTGATAAAAACATAAAATATATATGCCATTTTATATTTATCAAAATATAAAATTATTTTAAATGTATTAAAATTTAATATATATGTGGGTTCGGAAAGGGAGAAACTGTTGTTAAAGCAAATGTTAGATTACCACACTGTAAACGATGACAAAAATCAAACCAGGCTAAAAAAATATGCATCACTCAAAATTTCGTCTAATGTAAATTGACATTTTTTTAATTGTCTAACACTCTATGTTCCTAAAATTGTATGTAAATAGACATCTTTTAATAAAATCAAATTGAGAAAATATCACCCGTGCAAGGCGCGGGTCAAACTCTAGTTGTCTTTAATATTTGATTCTTTGTCCATGTTGGAGAAGAAAACAGAGAATTTATTTTTGAGACATATATTAATACCCATTAAATAGCATTGTCTTGGAATATTAAATGCAGATGTTTTTACATTGTCTTGAGATGCAGAAATCTTTTTAAAACAATAATATATATCAAATGCAGATGTAATCAAAGAATAAAGATTGTTTCAATTCTTTAGCCTTATTCATTGCAGCTAATTGGAGATTTGGACATTAGAGAAGATAGTCTTCTGTTGGACAAGCTAAACGGTGTCGAATTATCTCTGTAGCAATAGTAGTATTTGTCCCCACGAATCTTGACTAGATCAATGCCAGTTTCTTTTGCCAAGTCCTCTGCTTCGTATTCCCGCGTTATAACCTTATCCAAACAAACGTACCTACCAAACACGGTCGTGTTCATTTCCTCGTATACTCGGACGTGCGCTTTCGCAAGCGTGTGAACATCGACTGTAGCAAGTACACCATTTTCATACATCTCTTCGGCTCCTATACAAAATCAAGAATACATATAAATATGGAATAGTGAATATTTAGTTTAAGCACTCTTAACATTTAGTCATTTAGAAAGAAAAAAAAATGCTTATGCTATTTATGATGCTGTAATTGTTTTGATTTTTGAAATAAGTTGTTATTCTTTTTAATATTTTGTCGTCGGCTTAATCCACATATATAGATGCAAAAAAGTTTGTCGCGAACAAATTAATCAGAATAGTAGGCGCATGTCCTTGTTGATAATCTCAAAAAGTTTCTGATCATGTTGAATTGTTTTTCCAAATTAAGTAATACAGTTAAAGACATTTCATTTTGATTTTTAGTGCTGTCGTGCGTTTCTATTTGTGTCTTAAGCTTCCTTAATGCTTACCAGCAGCTTCACATATACGGTATATATATCTAAAATGTTTATGGTGAAAAAAAAAGAACAGAAAGAAATGAAATTTTGTGTAGTTGTATATGATTGATGTACGTATAGTCTTAGATATATGAATGAATTTAAGAACTGATTACCTTTGAGATAAGCAATAGTAGGGGTAGGATTGTGGAGAAGCAAGTTAGAGGAAGTGATGAGAGGAGCACATATTGTTGAGAGTTTGAATCCTTTGTTTTCTGCTATTTTCCATGCAATTTTCTCCGCTTTGAGCTTCCCTAATGCATACCACAACTTCACAAAAATATTCCATAAATCAGCCAACAATTCATTACCAAAAACAAATTGGTATCAAGGGATAGAGGGATGGACACTACCTTTTTGTCCTTGCAGAGAGACTCGTCGCTCCAGCTAGAATGATCAATCACACAAGGGAAGTCGAAGTGCGTGCCGTTTTGCCAAAGGCAAGCTAATAAGGAAGAAGTCATGAGACATCTCCTAACCGATTGCGTCATCGTACACGCGTTCATCACGCTCTCACTAACCTTTGCTTCTATCTCTGCCATACATTTCTGAAAAGAAAAAAAAACATAAATTGATGGCTACGTTTAATAAATTCGTCAGTTGTCCTAAATTTAATGCAAGAAAAAAGTTGTGTAACATTTATGTTCCAACATGTACAAATAGAGCCGTGTATTGGCTTAAAATATCGTTAGAAGGAACACGTCGCTTATTAATCAAATCAAGGTCGATAATCTTTATGTTCTCTCTTTATCCGGTAAGTTATATTTTCTATAACAGTAATGATAGATAAATTTTGAAAAAAGATTCAATTTGTTGGTGTCTACCAAACTAGAAACGAAATGAACAATAGTATGATATATTTAAAGAAGAACACTGTTTTTTATAAATATGTTAGAGAAAAACTCAAAAAAGAAAAGAAAACGTGGAAGGTAATTAAAGAAAGAGACTAAAAGAACTCACGGAGTAGCCAGAGACGCCGGAGGGATCAATGAAACCGGAAGTGTGGAAAACGCCGTTACACCCGTCAAATGCATCAACTAAGCTCTCTGTTTCTGTTAGCTTTGCGGTCACTGCTTCAATTCTCCCGTGAAACGCAGCCGTTCCATCCCTCATAACTCTCAATCTCTCAAGGTCATCTATGGTTAGGCAAAAAATAAAAGATAAATGATAAACACAAAACATATGTAAAAGTAGAATATATATTACATGGTTGGTGTTTTACGAACACCTAATTATCTTTTTTTTTTGTCGGCCAAGTTTATAATCTTATCATTCAACTTTTGTTAATTATGAGACCATGAAACAATAGTCTACGGGTTATGTATTACCTGGTCCATTTACGATGACGCGAACGGTGTAGCCATGGAGCAAGAGCCGTTCTGTAATGGCTCGGCCGAGAAATGTAAGACCGTCCGTTATACAGACAACCTTAGCATTATCTTCGTCAAGATCGTAACTATTAAGGTTTTTTCCCGACCCTTTGAACCATTTTTCATCTTCTTTTCTCCTCTTGGACGCGGTGGATGCGGCAACGAAAGAGCTTAGCTCTGCAAGCTCGGCTTCGTAGTTCTCTGTCGTAGGGATGATTCTCATAATTGTTGGGTTTTTTTCTCCTCTCTTCTTTTCTGGTTTATTTGGTTGAAGTTGAAGTGAAGAAGTTTGAAGGAAATGATCCAAATATATAAGACGGTGAGTTTAGGGGTTTAAGTCGGTCTATTACAAATGGCTGCTCGGCTCGGCTTTAATCCGCGGGTAATTACGGTCAAATAATTATGTTTAGAGAAAAAGAAAAACTATGTTTTGCCCATGTAGAGCAGGTTACAAGTAGGGCCGTATAAATTACCAGTTAAATCCGTTTTGATTTAATCTGAAGGCAAATACTGTATTAATAGTTTGATAACTTTGACTTGTAATGTAATTTTTTTTTTTTACTCTTTCATTAGTTTACGGGTTCTTATTATACTACTACTCTTGTTTCTAAATAATGAATGTTTCTAAGAATATATTATCACTGGAATATGTTATCTGAAATAATTTTGATAAGACAACTTTAATGGACATCCACTAAATTCTTAAAGACTATTAAGTTTTGGTAGATTTTGGACATATGCAAAAGTGTTTAGAGACTCATGAAAATTTTCAAATTTCAAATTTAATGTGTACCTTACTATAGGTGAACTACTTAAAGTCACATGTAACTTAGCATATGTGAATCACATCACATTTCATGTAAGCTTAGTTTGGACAAATTATGTAGCGCATTTTAGAATTCTTCGGACCGACTTTAAGAATACGGTATTTAGATCTGACCTTACACAGACACATTCAAGGCTTTAACCATGTGTTTCCCAAACGTATGGCCGGGTAGTACATCATGGTAAGGTAATATGGTACATAATAAATATAATAATGTTTTGGAGATGAGTGGTCTAATAGTTTCAATACAGCTTAATAGGCAGATAATTCACCTTTATCCTTATAAAGAAGCCTAGCCTAATTAAGGGTAATTCTATCAGATGACTAATTACCTTCATAAGTAGATTTATATCCTTGTTTAAATTTATATATGTAATGATCCTATTTTGCTTGTACGTCCCAAGTACAGAGACAAGATCAACACAAACACATCATTTATAAATGGAAACATTTGTAACAGGGATACGTGTGTTTTAATTTGTATCTGTTTTTATCTGAAATTGAATTGCTTAGTCAATTAGATCATTCTGCCACTGCAAAAACGACATATATATCTCGTTTAACATGCATTATATATTAAAAACAAAAGAAGAGACATAATGCGAGCGGTCAAAAACTTTGTACGATCCATGTTTTCGTCTTTTCGAACACAGAAATGATTCAAAAAAGTAAATGTAAACTGGTCAGTAACAAACATTACGAGAAAAGATTGAGATCAAGTCTTCGGCTACGATCAACTGACTTCAGTTGATGCAAGCCGAGTCGAGCCTGAGTGTGAAGTAGCGCCTCACCTTTTGAATGACCACTACCTGCGGCGAGGAGGTAGGTGCCCATAATTTTCTTAAATTAGTTGACATGCCTGTGACACAAGTCACATCATGGAGTTTCCACGTGTCTAGTTTGTATTCGATTGTTCAGGAAAACTGTCACGGACGTTTAGCATGATCATGCATATGATCGCGAACTAGGAAAAATCACGTGAGAAAGAGCAAGTGGGCCTAATGGGCTTGGAGTCCAGAATTCAGCCCACCAAAATTATAATACTGCTCTATTTTTTTGTTATGTCAAAATTATTAGAGCAGATGAGGCTAATATAGGGGTGTTCAATCCGGATATCGGTTCGGTTTCGGTTCGGTTTTTTCGGTATTTGGTTTTTCGGTTAATAAAAAATAGCTACCATAGTAGATCCATACTTACTTCGGTTTGGTTCGGTTTGGATTCGGTTTTTGCGGTTTGGATATTTTCGGGTCGAATAATCTCGGTTTTCGGTTAATTTGTATTTTTTGTTTTATGATTATTTTATTAATTAGGGTTTTCGATTTTTCTCATAATCAAAATGATCAAATTCAAATAAAAAATGCAAACTCATGTCTTATTCCTTTTGCTCATCTACAAGTGAATAAGTATTAAAAGAAAATCAGTTAACTTATGAAACAAAGAAGTAGAACAAACGGAGAAAACTTGTTTAAGGCATACGATACCTTTAGTTCACGTCTAGGGTAAGAGAAAAGATTAACGAAGAAGAAGACAATTGCTATAATAATATTGTTGTATGAGAAGAGGAAGATCGCTTTATCTAGGTTTTTTATTTAGTGTTTCTTAATTGTTAAATTTTAGTTAATTAATGATTTATTACTCTAAACTTATATTATTATATGAGTAATTTAATATATATAAAGTTATTCGGTTTTTTGCGGTTCGGTCGGTTAATATCCAAACCATATCAATATCCACGGTTTATATAAAATTGCATCCATACGGTTTATACAGTGTATCCAAATCCAAACCATATGACTTATTTCGGTTCGGTTCGGTTCGGGTCGGTTCGGTTTTACCAAATTGAAACACCCCTAGCTAATAGAGTGGTTTGGTGTCGATCACAGTTTTTAAACATAAACTCCATAATGGAAACTATTTTCTACTTTATTACTCGATTTGCAGCTTACGTGTCGCTCCAAAAACAAAAAAACGTGAGCTATTGCATTTTTCCTATACAATTTTTGTTTTTTTTTGCAGATTTTATTTTTGTAAAAGATAATGGACCAAACCGAATTTGTGACAGGTACTGATTGTATTATTTTAAATCAGATAAATTTCCTAACGTGGGAAAAATAGCAAGAAAAACGGTGCGATGCTAATCTCTACACATTCAACAACAAGAGCGTTACATTTTTCTTAAACAAAATTACCGTAAGATATCGTCACGTGTCATATTGTCACGTTGGGACAGTCAGAGACCGACAAATGTCAGCAAGTCTTCACAGAATCGTTGTACGGGGAAAGAACAAAAAAAAACCAAACTGAGTGAAAAAAATTTAAAAAGAAACATGAAATTAAAATTTAAGATAAGATAAAGACAGACCAAATGTTGAAAAAAAAGAAAATAATTAAAGAGAATTTCCGCAAATGCTCTCGTCTCGTCGTTCTCTTATGTCGTTTACTTACGAAAGAGGCAAAGTTGAGTTACTGCTCGGAGCAAAGCACACACTCTTTCTCTTTACCATCTTTGCTTTCTTTTTGGGTCTTTTCTTTTTCCTTTTCCTCTCTCTGTAAGTAATTAGATCTTTAGAATATTTAAGACCAAGTAAGGGATCTTTAAGACAACTGAACTGATAGTTACTGTTTATTGCAGCTTTCTTGATTTTCCTTATCACTGATTTTTATTTTATTATATTTTCTCTATTAGTTAGATTCTAGCTGATTCTCCTACCTACTAGATTTAATTGGCAATGAAGTTGTGATTGTTCTTGAAATTTGTCTTTTAGGCACTAGTCGAATTTTCCAAGAAAAATGTTTTCTTTTTTCAAGTTGAGAAAAGAAATCTCCTCTATTTCGTTTTAGGAATTGGATTTCTTGAGAAATATTTGTCTTTTTAAGTAGAGAAGATCTAATATGGCTGGAGAGAGGAGGAAAGGGATGCGTTTCAGTAAATTATATTCATTCAAGTGTTTGAAGCCTTTCTCTAGAGAAGATCATCATCCTCAGATTGGTTCCAGAGGCTACTCAAGAGTTGTGTTCTGTAATGATCCAGATAATCCCGAGGCTCTTCAGCTTAATTACAAAGGGAACTATGTGTCAACCACTAAGTACACAGCTGCTAATTTCATCCCAAAGTCTCTGTTTGAACAGTTTAGAAGAGTTGCAAATATATATTTCCTCGTTGTTGCTTTCGTTTCCTTTAGCCCTTTGGCTCCTTACACTGCTCCGAGCGTTCTTGCACCGCTCTTGATTGTGATCGGTGCCACAATGGTTAAAGAAGGAGTGGAAGATTGGAGGAGAAGGAAACAAGTATGGCTTTGTTCTGTATTTTGCATTTGATGTTCTTGAATCTTGATTAGGATCTTGATTTTTCTGATGGTTTTGATTTTTAGGATGTTGAAGCTAACAATAGGAAAGTTGAAGTTTGTGGTAAAAACGGAACATTTGGTGAAACAAAGTGGAAAAATCTCAGAGTTGGTGATCTTGTGAAGGTTCATAAAGATGAATACTTTCCAGCTGATCTTCTTCTTCTCTCATCTAGCTTTGAAGATGGGATTTGTTACGTTGATACCATGAATCTCGACGGAGAGACTAATCTGAAGCTAAAGCATGCGTTGGAGATCACATCAGATGAAGAGTCAATCAAGAACTTCAGAGGAATGATCAAATGTGAAGATCCCAATGAGCATCTCTATTCCTTTGTAGGAACACTTCACTTCCAAGGAAAGCAATACCCTCTCTCTCCTCAGCAGATACTATTGAGAGACTCCAAGCTGAAGAACACTGATTACGTCTATGGAGTGGTTGTTTTCACTGGTCATGACACCAAAGTGATGCAGAACGCTACTGATCCTCCTTCAAAGAGGAGCAAGATTGAGAGGAAAATGGACAAGATCATCTACATCCTCTTCACTATCTTGATTGTGATAGCTTTCACTGGTTCTGTGTTCTTCGGGATCATGACGAGTAGAGATCTCAATAATGGGAAGATATATAGATGGTATCTTAGACCGGACCAGACTACTATCTTCTATGATCCACATAGAGCGGTTCTTGCTGCTTTCTTTCATTTCTTGACGGCTCTGATGCTGTACGGTTACTTGATACCGATATCTTTATACGTGTCGATCGAGGTTGTCAAGGTCTTGCAGAGTATTTTCATCAACCAAGATCAAGAAATGTACCATGAGGAAACAGACAGGCCTGCTCGTGCAAGAACGTCTAATCTCAACGAAGAGCTTGGTCAAGTGGATACGATCCTCTCGGATAAAACAGGTACTCTCACTTGCAACTCAATGGAGTTTGTGAAATGCTCGGTTGCTGGTACTGCTTATGGACGTGGTATGACTGAAGTAGAAATGGCCTTGAGAAAGCAAAAGGGAATGATGATACCTCAAGAAGAAGAAGTTCTTGATGATACCTCAAAAGCGAGCAAAAAGTCGGTTAAAGGGTTTAACTTTTGGGATGAGAGGATAGTTGATGGGCAATGGGTTTATCAACCAAATGCAGAGCTCATACAGAAGTTCTTAAGAGTGTTGGCTATTTGTCACACAGCTATACCTGATGTGAACAGTGATACTGGAGAGATCAGTTATGAAGCCGAGTCTCCAGATGAAGCCGCTTTTGTCATAGCGTCTAGAGAGCTTGGATTTGAGTTCTTTGAAAGGTCTCAGACTTGTATCTCCTTGCATGAGATTGACCACACGACCGGGAAAAAAGTAGACAGGTAACTGATGAAATCTTTCTTTTTAGCTAACATGAGGATACAACGTTTCTAAAGATACCACATTTTTGTTTTTATGTGTGTGAAATGTTCAGAGTGTATGAGCTGCTTCATGTCCTAGAGTTTAGCAGTTCACGGAAAAGAATGTCGGTGATTGTAAGAAATCCGGAAAGCCGGTTATTGTTGCTTTCAAAAGGCGCAGACAGGTTAATAACTTTTTCTTTTTGAAAAAGCTCAAAATTCTTGAAAATCTCTCATTTATATATCTTCTTGTGTCATGTGTTTCAGTGTAATGTTTGAAAGACTTGCAAAGCACGGAAGAAAAAACGAGAGGGAGACAAAGGAACACATCAAGAGGTATGCAGAGGCAGGTTTAAGGACTTTGGTGATTACATACAGAGAAGTCGATGAAGACGAGTACAGAATCTGGGAAGAGGAGTTCTTGAAAGCCAAAACTTTGGTGACTGAAGATAGAGATGCTTTGATTGATGCAGCTGCTGATAAGATTGAGAAGGATTTGATTCTTCTTGGCTCTACTGCAGTGGAAGACAAACTCCAAAAGGGTGTAAGTATAACAAAAATAAATATATAAACCTTTTTCAGTTTCTGTTACTTAAGCATATGAGTTGTTTTTCAACAGGTTCCAGATTGTATTGAGAAGTTATCTCAGGCTGGGGTCAAGATATGGGTTTTAACCGGAGATAAGACAGAAACCGCAATAAATATTGGGTATGTTTTAGACTTGTCATGTTTTCTCTTTGTTTATCTCTTTTTGGTCTGTAAAAGTTCAAATGTGATAGGTGTGATGTTGTTGTTGGCAGGTATGCTTGTAGTCTCTTAAGAGAAGGCATGGAAAAGATTTTGATAACTCTAGACTCACCTGACATTGAAGCCTTAGAAAAACAAGGAGACAAAGGTGCTGTTGCAAAGGTTAGTTTCTTTTTTCTTGTTTTTGCAGAACACAACTTTCTAGGTTTTTGGGAAATGGTGAGAAGTTGTTTTTTTTTTCCCTAGGCTTCTTTTCAGAGTATTAAAAAGCAGTTAAGAGAGGGAATGTCACAAACTGCTGCAGCAACAGATAATTCAACCAATGAAAATCAAGAAATGTTTGGTTTAGTGATAGATGGAAACTCCTTAACTTATGCATTGGACAAGAACCTGGAGAAAGACTTCTTGGAACTTGCGAGTCGATGTAATTCTGTTATATGTTGCCGCTCTTCACCAAAGCAAAAGGCTCTCGTAAGATTAGATTCGCTTCACCACTTTTCACTTTTTTTCTCAATCTGATTGTGAGGCATAGAATAAATATATATATGTTTAGGTTACAAGATTGGTGAAAAGCGGGACTGGTAGAACAACACTAGCCATTGGAGATGGCGCAAATGATGTTGGAATGCTTCAAGAAGCCGATATCGGAGTCGGTATAAGTGGTGCCGAAGGAATGCAGGCAGTGATGGCTAGTGATTTTGCTATTGCTCAGTTCCGGTTTCTTGAACGGTTATTGCTTGTTCACGGTCATTGGTGTTATAGACGAATCGCAATGATGGTAACAAGCTCTAATAACTCAAAACGTATTTACTCTACTGTAAGCATAAATTTTGAATCTTCTTTGTTCTTTCTTTCAGATATGTTACTTCTTCTACAAGAATCTCACATTTGGATTCACTTTGTTTTGGTACGAAGCGTATGCTTCTTTCTCTGGCAAACCGGCTTATAACGATTGGTACATGTCTTGCTACAACGTCTTCTTCACTTCTCTTCCGGTTATTGCTCTTGGAGTCTTTGACCAAGACGTCTCTGCTCGTCTTTGTCTCAAGGTTAACTTTTTTTTCCTCACTCTCAAATTTTAAACCAAAACCAATTTGCGTTTCTTGATTCTTGTTTTTCGCATGCAGTATCCGTTACTGTACCAAGAAGGTGTACAAAACATATTATTCAGCTGGGGACTAATTCTTGGTTGGATGTTGAACGGAATCATAAGCTCAATGATCATTTTCTTCCTCACAATCAACACAATGGCGGGACAAGCTTTCAGGATCGATGGCCAAGTAGTCGATTATTCTGTTCTTGGAGTGACAATGTACTCTTGTGTGGTCTGGACGGTGAATTGCCAAATGGCGATTTCGATAAACTACTTCACATGGATCCAACATTGCTTCATTTGGGGAAGTATAGGGTTTTGGTATCTGTTTCTTGTCATCTACGGTTCTCTTCCTCCGACATTTGCCACGACTGCGTTTCAGGTTTTTGTAGAGACATCTGCACCGAGTCCGATCTGTTGGCTCGCTCTTGTTCTGGTTGTGTTCTCTGCTCTCTTGCCGTTTTTCTCTTACAGGGCGTTTCAGATCAAGTTTAGACCCATGTACCACGATATTATTGTTGAACGGAGGAGAACGGAACGGCCGGAGAGTCGGAGTAGTGCGGTATCCGGCGAGCTTCCGGTGCAAGTTGAGTCTACTTTGCATCATCTTAGGGTAAATTTGTCGAGAAGAGATTCTTGGAATTGATTCTACTTTGCAACATCCTTTAATTCCAATTTTCCCTATATTGGGATTTTACGTAACTTAGCTTCGTTTTGACATTTTTATTATGTAAATATACGAGAAGATGAGAATGTGTGTTTAGTTCATTTAGCTAGCTGTTTTTAGGAAGTTTTATTGGCTAACCTTGGATTTAAATGTTAAAATATGTTGTAGATATACTTTTGCAACTGCAAGAGAGTTATCATATTTGGGAATATTTTATTCTTATTATGAGCTGGCAAAAAAAGGAATTAAACTAATGCATAACGCATAATTTCTAGAATCTTAAATCAGCATATAGTGTGACGATTTGGTCTAATGGTGGAAGAAAAGAAATGTAAAAATCTTTGATTTGATTCTGATAGCGATTCAAGTCAAGTTTAGCTTCGCTCATAAGACTTCTTCAAGAAAAGTGATAACGACGTCTAGATGTATTATATTTATACGTATATATACGCATGTACATATACGTGCCCATGTGAATCGTATTTCTTATAGCAGGATCGTATTTATTGCGCTCGATTATATAATTGTTGCGTTCACAATTTGGAACGTTCGTTTTCGAGAAGCTATGATTAAAAAAGAAAGAAAGAAATTGATGCAACGGAGCAGCCATGATTCATGGTTCATGATTCCTCTTCCTTTTGTCAGCAATTACGTACGCATTTTCCTTATAATGGGCTGCTTGGACTACAATTCAACTTTGCACACACACACACATATACATCACAATATCACATAACAACATCAATCACTTAAAAAATATCGCTTATTGCTGTCACGTTATTAGACGAAAGCGGTGATTTATGCTTTTTATATATTCGCCATATATATTGAAAAGTAATGTACAATTTTAAATTGTTGAAAAATACTCTGTTACCACTAGAGTACACAACTTTGTCCGAATGCTACAGTTTAATGGCAATTAATATACGGAGCCCGCCAATTTATTCGCTGAAATATTTAGTAATAATATCATTGTCAATTGATTTGAAATGTATTATACTATAAGAAGAATAAAAAAAAAATCATACACCCAAAAAAACTTCTGGAAAACTTCTGGATCAAAGAGCGGGATACGCTTCTAGAAGAAAGTCCACGTTAAGCTCGATATCAGTTTTGATGCAAATGACAAATTAAGCTTCCACTTAACTTAATACTGAAAATTTGCCATTTCCATGTGCCCCAACCGCTTCTCCTATATATACGGCTGTTTACAGTAGAAGACAAAAAAATAAAAAATACAAAACGCCATTAATAAAAAAAACTCACGCTTTTTTCGTTTGTCAACTGTAAAACCCGGAGAGAAGAAGAAGACGAAGGAGAGAGCCGATTCACCAATCAGAAATGGAGAAAGATGATAGTGATTCTAGTGTCTGCACGGCGTCGTTTTCGCCTAGCTTCAGTACTTACTCCGGCGATCGACTCGCCGAGATCGCGGAACGTGTTGGTCGGAAATTCGCCGACGAGGAGAATGGAGACGAGGAATTCGAGTTTGCGACGGCGTCTCCTTCCGGCGACGTATTCCCTGTTTTTGATCAGAATCTAATCTCCGAATCCTCCGCCGTTGAACCTGACGTCAATTCACCGGAAGCGGTTGTGACTCCGTTAAAAGATCTGTTCCTCCGCGAACGCAACGATCAGCCGCCGTCGCCGCCACCGCAACAGACGTATTCGTCGTCGTCGGACGAGGAGGATGATGAAGAGGAAGACGAGTTCGACTCGATCCCGAGCGAGATCTACTGTCCATGGACGCCGGCGAGATCCACGGCGGAGATGTCACCGAGCGGGGGTTGCAGGAAAAGCAAATCCACGGGATCGTCTTCGACATCGTCGTGGTCAACGAAACGATGGCGGATCAGAGATCTACTCAAGAGAAGTCACAGCGACGGGAAACAATCACTGAAATTCCTGAATTCGAGCTCAATTAACAACAACAGCAGAGACGAATCTTCTTCTCCGAAGACGACGGTGAAGAAGAAGGAGAAGGAGAAAGTTTCAGCTCACGAGAAGTTTTACTTGAGGAACAAAGCGATGAAGGAAGAAGACAAGAGAAAATCGTATCTGCCGTATAAGCAAGATCTCGTCGGACTTTTCGCAAACATTAACCGTTACGGAAAAACTTTTCCTCCGTTCTGATCGGGAAACAACAATCGATAAAGTTCTCTCTAGTCTCCTTGGATTTATCCGGCGAAGTTCATAGTTTTTTTTTTTTTTTTTTTAATCATTTTCAATTCAAGCAACAAAAAAAAGAAGCTGCGATTTTGCATTCGTATCTGAATAAAGTATTATAGCTCCATAGACCATAGCTTATTAAAAAGATGTAGATTGGAATTTAATAATTACATCTTAAGTTATACTTATTCTGTGTTTACACATATTTGTTTATGAGATAGGTGTTGTGTTATCATTTTCATTTCATAAGCTGTTGTACTATTTGTTTTTTTTTTCTGAGATAACTTGGGACCTTGGGTGTAGGATTTTTGTAAATATAGTTGCAGATATTTAAAAAGTACAGATATAGATTTAAAGTTGGAAGTTGCGTGTTTTAAAGTTTGCACTTGGTGTTTGTTGGGGAAGATAATAGTGGATAGAAACATCAAAGACGTATGTAAATGAAGACAAATAATTAAACTTTTGATGTAGGGATGGACATCATAAATCACAAAAAAATGACAAGTGTAGTTTTATTTTCTCTTTACGTTTTATTTTCTTCTAATAATGGCCAATGAATAATAATGGGCTGTTTCGTAAATGCCAGCTACTAACTGCAAAGTTTAGTTCGCTTAGACTAGGGGGCATCTATAGAATGTAGATGATTTACAGCATTCCATAACCATATAACTACGACGCATTCCTAACTCGGCTACGTAGTTATAATGCAGTGATCATAGATATAACTCAAATCACGTCCAAGCTTGTGTGCTCTGTGGTGAGCTGGACGAGACTCGTGAGTCGTGACTCGTGAGTCCCGATCACTTGTTCTTGGCTTTCCTTTATTTTTACACTGTTTGGTATTTTGGTCTGACATCACTGGTGAACATCATACACTATCTCTTAATAGTTTATATTGGATACAAGAAGTTTGTATATTAAAAAGAGTTTTTGTATTTTCTTTACAATTTACCATAAAACTCATAAACTCTAATTTTGTTCTTCAAAAATTTGTTTTCTAATTTTAATGTGTGATAGAAAAACAAAAGAATTAAAGTGTATTGAGTAATTCATTACAGAAATTATATTATATGTCCGAAAGTCCATGGAGACAGAACCCATGCATGCGTTTTTAACTGAAAGTCTGAAACCATTGAATCCACTTTGTGTCGTGACTCAAAAAGTCAACTTCTTTGTCTCTTTGCGGTGATAACTTATATTAGGTGGACTGAAACTTACCAAATTTTCTCTATTGCAAACAAAAAGGAAAATATTTATAAAATTCTTAAAGAAAGAACAAACAAGGGTCCATAGCTCAGTGGTAGAGCAATTGACTGCAGATCAATAGGTCACCGGTTCGAACCCGGTTGGGCCCTTCTTTTTTTTTTTTCTTTTAAAAAGGAAAAAATATATAGAATCATTTTAGTTTTCGTTCCGAAATTCCAATGCTGATGAACAGTTCATCACTCTTTTAACAAACATACCTTTGTAACACATACCTTTGTATCAATGTATCATGTAAGTACGTATACAATATTATTACATCAATGAGAAATAGAAACTGTTTCTTATCAAAACAACTGGAATTATTTTCATCACACGAACATGATCAATCTCAAAAAAACGATCAACAATGGTGCCACAGACTCACAGTGTCACTTACTTAGCGAGTCGCAGAGTAAATGCCTGTAACGACACAAGGACTTGTTTCAACCTCTCCTTAGACGCTTCATCCACCAAGTTTCCTTCCCCATCGAATTTCTTCGGCGGCTGAAACGCATTCAGAGTAAACTCCGGTTTGTTGATGAAATGAAGATCAAGGAACACTCCGATCTGCCGGAGATGATACTGAGATCTTCCTCCTCCAGCTCCTCCACCGGTGCTTATCACAGCGGCCGGTTTGTCAGCCCAAACATTAGGTGATCTTGAAGCCCAATCAATCGCATTCTTAAGTGGAGCTGTGTATAGTAACAGAGCAAGGTATAACAAAACAACAAAACGACAAAAGTCAGCAGATTAAATAAAGTCATATCACATTTTCTCAACACTAACCAAATACTAACGATTCTAAAATCACGATTTGCATAAACAAAAAAAGCGATTTGATGTACCTGAGACAGAGAAATTGTACTCAGGGGAAGCGAAGAGAATGCTATCGGCTTCAAGGATCTTCTGCCGGAAAGCTTCGACGACGGGAGGATAAGTACCGTTGGTTTCCAGATCGGTGTTGATCAACGGTAACGGAGATATGTCGATATACTCAATCTGCATCCCCGGAACCGATTCTTTCGTCAAGTCGATTGCTACAAAAAAAAAAAAAATCCCCAAGATTAGCAAACGAAACACCGAAATTGACGAGAATTAGAAAAAAAAAAGGAATATACCGGCGCGGAGGAGACCGGTGTTGTAAGAGCCTTTACGGAGGGAGCCGGAGAGAGCAGCGACTCTGATCAGTGGCTTTATCGCTGTTACTGCCTCCATTTTATCCGATTTGGAGCTTGACAGAAATGTTGACCAATGAGGAAGGATGAGATTTAGATTTTAGAGATTAGGTGAAAGGAAGAGACAGAAGAGACGATCCCACTTATCTAGTAGTGGTCGGCCCCACAAGAGTCATTAGTAAGAACAATCGCATATCTACTAATAACTAGTCTATATCATAGATTGGTAAACAAGATTTGAGAATCTCCAAAAAGAATTGTAACCAGAAATCGATTTTGTTTTTTCTTTAATTTAAGTTCTTGAATCAACAAACAAAATCGTGACTACAAAAAAAAAATTAGAAAAGAACAAAAAACTCTGAGATGTATTAAAGAAAGGATACATATGATTATAAGCATATTTCATTCTTAATCAAACTATTACATCTAAACAATGATCAATGGTTGGCCAATAGTTCATAGTCTTCACAAGATTAGTCCACAAGACTTTCCCCCAGATCTCTTTGCCTTCTCGCTTTTCCAATGCAATCTCTGTGTACCATACCTCTGTGTTGCCATACTTGAAATTAGGATTCATGTACACAATCGCAAGTTTTCCGCCATGATTCGCCATTCTGGATCCAACAAAATAATTCACCTTCTCAGGTAGATCTTCAGCACTCTTCATGAATGTCCAGGAATTAGCTTTTGGATCATAAATCCGTATCTTACTCGAACAACGATCAAAAGTGTACAACATATTGTCAATAACGCACGAACCAAATCTCCATTCTTCATTCAGCACGATGTCATCCTCCCACTTACCTGTCTTAGGATCGTAAAAAAAGGTTTGTGCAGAATCCATTATGTAGATCTTCTCTTTCATCACAAGACTCTTGACTGTTCTCTCCAACAACTCTTCCTTACACAAACCCGAAAAACACTCCCATGTTTGCGTCTTCACGTCCAAAACCTCGATATCCAACGAAACCTCCTTTTTACACCCTCCGATCACATAAATCTTCCCATCTACAACACCCAACGCAGCGTTGACACGTGCCACACGCATGCTAGGAAGAGACCGAGACGTGCCAAATCGGGAGTCGAAAACAAACACATTAGAGGTGATCTCACCATCGATGCATCCCCCGAAAACATAGATCTCGTTGCCTACAACAGTAACAGAAGCTCCCCAACGAGGGAGAGAAGGGAAAGAGGGAAATGGAACCAACTTATGGTTACGAGGGTGAGATCCTTCCCTGTTTGGTTTCTGGTTCAGAGTGTACCAAACAGGGTTTTGTTCGTGATTGTTTCTCAAGGCAACATAAAGAACGTTTTCAGTGGATTGAGAGAGTGAACGTACTAGATTTATCTCGGGGGAAGCAATCAGACGATTGAAAGGTTTGGAGACGAGAGATAGTGAAGGGTAGTCACATCTTGGAACCCTTGCAAAACAGCTCACAATGAGTTCATCTTGGATCGGGAGAGAAGAAGATGTGGATTTTGGTTGTGGACTGGAGGTTGAACTCACTGGTAAAGACATGATTGCTAAAGAGTATGAGCTATGGAGGAGAGCATTGTGACTAGATATATATATATATATATATATAACTTTGATGTGGAGATAAAATTTGGTGAGTCAAGTGACAATTTAACATTCATGCATATTTGTTTACTGAGCCTGTGAGTTGGTGAAAGACTCTGTAAATTCTTTTATTTTATTTTGAATTGTCCACGTTATGGGTTTTTTTCTATACTATTTTATTTTATTTCTAATTTGTCAGATTTTATTTCTCGTTTTGTTTTTTCTAACTAAGTTTTTCTAAAATCAAAATTTCCGATAAATGTTTATACTATTTTTATATTTTTTTTCCCGTTCGATATTTTGTTTCTTTTTCAAAAATTGAAATTGCTGAGAATGTGTGATTTTTTTTTCATTTTGTTTTTCTAATTTGTGTGTGTGGATGTAAGTGAGTCATTTTATTTCTAATTTGTTAGATTTTATTTCTCGTTCTGTTTTTTCTAACTAACTTTTTCTAAAATCAAAATTTCCGATAAATGTTTATACTATTTCTATATTTTATTTCCCATTCGATATTTTGTTTCTTTTTCAAAAATTGAAATTGCTGAGAATGTATGATTTTGTTTTCATTTTTTTTCTAATTTTTGTGTGTGGATGTAAGTGAGTCATTAAAATTGTTTAATTTTAATAATTTTGTATATGGTGGTAAATTTTGGTTTTTTGCTTCATATCTGACTGATGCTCAGAAAACCGTTGCAGACTCTACTGAAACGGTAAAGTCCGAGGCCTCAGCCATACTGGAAAAAGCGTCTGATGTGTCCACAAAGGTCTGTTCTTGGTCACTCTCACACCCTTTTACTTGTCTCAAAAAACTAAAAATATATTGTAATATACTTAGGCAAGAGATGCAGTGGACGGTGCTTTGTCAAGAGGTATAGAAGGAGCCAAGAATTTGCTTAGTGTTTTTGAGGAGAAGAGGACTGAAGTTTCCTCCAAGCTCGTTGGAGCTGTTACTAATGCTGTTGGTGGAGCATCAAGCAGCACAAACCGAGACCTTCCCTTATCCACAGACAATCAGGTCACAGATTTAAGCAAAACTCTTTGTTCTTGAAAAGAAAAAGAAATAAAAACTCAATACTGTCTCTTACCAGAAGATTGTAATTCTCATCATGTTTTGACAAATTGCATATGTGTTTGTTTGTTTGCAGCCTTTGTTGAGTTGTGAGCGTGGAGGTGAGACGCCGTGGTGGAAGAACTGTTGTGGAGTTCTTGATCTTCTCAAGACATCTACATCTACTACAAAATGATTGATCAAGAAATGGTCAAACTAACGAACTTCACCATATGAAGAAGAAGAACAGAGCATTAGAAAGAAAGAAAACCTATCCGAAAACAACTTTTTGATTATTTATTTCCTTGAAACTTTTTTGATTAGTATTCATGATCTAATAACTAGTTTATATCATAAATTGGTAAACAAGATTTGAGAATCTCCAAAAAATTTGTAACCAGAAATGGATTTTGTTTTTTCTTTAATTTAAGTTCTTGAATTAACAAACAAAATCTTGACTATAAAAAAAAAAAATTAGCAAAGAACAAAAAACTCTGAAATGTATTAAAGAAAGGATACATGATATTATAAGTCTATTTCATGCTTAATCAAACTATTACATCTAAGAATTGATGAATGGTTGGGTAATAGTTCAAAGTAATCACATGATTAGTCCACAAGACTTTCCCCCAAATCTCTTTTCCTTCTCGCTTTTCCAATGCAATCTCCGTGTACCAAACCTCTGTGTTGCGATTGACATTACGATTAAAGTACAAAATCGCAAGTTTTCCGCCATGATTGCCATTTTGTATCCAGCATAATAATTCACCATCTTAGGTAGATCTTCAGCACCCTTCATGAATGTCCAAGACTTAGCTTCCGGATCATAAATCCTTATCTTACCCCAACAATCTTCAAAAAAGTGTACAACATATTGTCAATAACGCACGAACCAAATCCCCATTCTGCATCCAGCACGATGTCCTCGTCCCACTTACATGTCTTAGGATCGTAAACAAAGGTTTGTCTATGAGTCATTATGTAGATCTTCTCATTCATCACAAGACTCTCGATTGTTCTCTCAGACACCTCTTCCTTACACAAACCCGGAAAACACTCCCATGTTTGCGTCTTCACGTCCAAAACCTCGATATCCAACGAAACCGCCTTTCTACACCCTCCGATCACATAAATCACTACAAGAATATTGAGTTTTAATAGCATAATATTATAGCGTTTTTGATAAAACTGCTATAACTATTGTACCCCTATGTTTTAGATAGCGTTTCTATTTTTGTAAACGCTATGATAAAGTGTTGAATTAAAAAAAAAATTATGCGTATCATTTTTCAGTTAAAAGATCATTTTTAATAGCAGATACCTTTTGCAAACGTTATTGTAGTGTTAAGCGTTAAAAGAAAATTTTGTTCCTCGACACTTACAAAAAAATTAGGTTCCAAAATAAAAATCCCCAATCACTCAGACCTAAAACTTCATGTTCTTCCTCTCTCGCTCCCTTGTGCTCTCGATCGATTCTCACAATCTCAATTCAATTACTCGTCACTGTGGACCAGAGTCAATTCGCTTCTCCGGCTCCTCCCGCCGCTCCTTTGTCTCAGGTATTTCTCTTCTGAATCGCTCACGACGGATTCTAGCCGTCGCCACCGATCCCAAGCCTACGCAGACTGGTCCACCCAATTCCACCACCGTAGATCATTGTTATCATTGTTAATCGTCAAATTCATCGTTCCTAATCGAATTGGCATGTCCGAAATTGATAGTGAAGGTGAAATTTCGTTTGGGGATTCTTTATTTGTAATGAGTTAGTGTTTGTACATGTTGGGTATTTTACTCCGTTTCGATTACGGTCAAACTGGCTACTTTCCTTCATTCAAGAGAGATTTGGAATGAAGAATCGGATGACAAACTGGTTTGTCTTTCTTGTGCTGCTCTATGTTTTTTTCTGTTTTTTTTTATATCTATGCTTGATGCAATTTTTCTTGATTTCATAAGCTTATGTCTTCGATGCATAGAGTTTGTATCTGATAATCTGTTACTGCTTCCTCTCACACTGTTCTACTCCTTTCTCTCTTTGATTTTGATGTAGTGTAGGCAATTACTGTAGTTGATATGTTATATAACAGTATAATCGAAGTTGAACTAATTGAAAGAGACTGTTTTGATTTGCCAGAGAGTTCAGAGACTGAAGAAGAAGTTCCATTTCCATTTCCAAGATTATGTCGACTTGATTTTCTGGAAGGTAATTATATGTTCATGCTACTTGGAATTTGTTTCAAGTGTTTACATCTGATGAAGAAAAGCGCCTAACTTTGTGGCGATTCTTGATGACCAGGTTCAGTTTTTGGATCGACATCATCTGCTAATCAAATTTGGCAGTGTAGATGGTGGGGTAAGCTCTCTATAATACACATTCTTTGTTGCATTGGACTGCCTATGAGTTTTAAGATAGTGTCTTCTCCTAGCATATCTAATGAGTTAAAGGTTTTTCGTCAGGTTGAAGGGAGGTAGACGGCGGAGGAGCCTTGGTGATTGAAGTAGGCTCACCCAGCTTGAGGCGGTAGAGATATGCTGAGATTGTTCCGAGAATTTAGACTAGAAACTTGTAGATATGAAGAAAAACAAATTCTTGTAAAATATTTTAATATTATTTATTTATTTATTTATTTATTTATTGTTCTTATAAATTAAAATATGATTTTTTAGAATTCGAAATTTAAAATCTAAAATTCAAAATTAAAACCCACATTATTATAAATAATAACATTAATAACAAAATTCAAGAAAATGATTAAAAAATAGCAATACAAAAAACCGCTATCTAAAGTGTTTGACCTACAATGACGGGCGATGATAAAGCGCTTGTTAAAGCGCTATTGTATTGTTAGATAGCGTTTTTCGGATGCTAAGAATACCTTTTTTTCCTGTAGTGAATCTTCCCATCTACAACACCCAACGTAGCGTAGCCACGTGCCACACGCATGCTAGGAAGAAAACGAGACGTTCCAAATCGGGAGTCGATAACCAACACGTTAGAGGTGCGCTCATTGTTGATGTATCCACCGAAAACATAGATCTCGTTGCCTACAACAATAACAGAAGCTCCCCAACAAGGAAGAGAAGGGAAAGAGGGAAGTGGAACCAACTTATGGTTACGAAGGTTGGATCCTTCTCTGTGAGGTCTATGATTCATAGTATACCAAACATGGTTCATTCCAAAATCATTTCCCAAGGCAACGTAAACAACGTTTTCAGTGGATTGAGAGAGTGAACGTACTAGATTTATCTTGGGGGAAGCAATGAGACGATTGAAAGGTTTGGAGACGAGAGATAGTGAAGGGTAGTCACATCTTGGAACCCTTGCAAAACAGCTCACAATGAGTTCATCTTGGATCGGGAGAGAAGAGGATGTGGATTTTGGTTGTGGACTGGAGGTTGAACTCACTGGTAAAGACATGATTGCTAAAGAGTATGAGCTATGGAGGAGAGCATTGTGACTAGATATATAACTTTGATGTGGAGATAAGATTTGGTGAGTAACAAGTTACAATTTAGCATTCATGCATATTTGTTTACTGTGAGTTGGTGAAAGACTTCTTCATGTAAATTATTTAATTTTATTTTGAATTGTCACGTTACGTGGAGTTTTTTTCTATACTAATTTATTTTATTTCTAATTTGTTATATTTTATTTCTTGTTATGTTTTTCTTACTTTTCAAAAAATCAAAATGTCTAAGAAATGTTTATACTATTTCTATATTTTATTTCTCGTTCGGTATTTTATTTCTTTTTCAAAAATTGAAATTGCCGAGAATGTTTGATTTTGTTTTCTATAAGCATTTATGAATTTTGTTTCCATTTTTTTCTATTTTTTTGTGTAGATGTAAGTGAGTCATTAAAATTCTTTAATTTTATTTTGAACTGTCACGTTACGTGTGGTTTTTTCTATACTAATTTATTTTATTTCTAATTTGTTGTATTTTATTTCCTGTTCTGTTTTTCTTACTTTTCAAAAAACCAAAATGTCTGAGAAATGTTTATACTATATCTATATTTTATTTTAAAAGATTGTACTCAGTATTTTAGTATAGTTTAGACATGTGAACTTGAGCATAAGTAGCCGTTAGACATAGTTGAAAGTAAATTACGCTACTGTAATTAGCCTATTGAAATGTAATAATTCATTATAATAAAATTTTCCTTCCCATTTCCTTTTCTTGGCCGAGGAGTTTTGTGTTCCATTACATCTTTTCATGTATTTTTTAACCCTCGCGTGTGTTTGTCATTTATATCAACGGTTCATATTTTCGTCAAAGTAAAATTCGTATCATCATAGTTGATTCGAGATGCAATTTTCCTACAATGTAAGATATAATTGTATGTTATCTTTGGTTGTTTGATATGTTTGATGGTTATTTATGAATTACAAAGATGAAGTTTTCTCACTATATTGTCTTATTTGTAAAAATGAATTACCAATTTAGGAACATTGTGCATATGGTTTTCCGTCGTAATATTCATCTTCTCCATAATTAAATAATAATGGATATTGCAAAGTCATATGAAGAGGGTTTAGTAGCAGCACCACAAATATAACTGCAGAAACAACAGTCGAGACAATAGTTTCAGTAGAAATCTTTTCCACTTCTCCTGGTGTGAGGTTGATATTCTTGAGGAGGTAGCAATGGCGTGTCACCAAAGGCACCAAAGTATTCAGAACCATCACACCGAAGAAAGCAAACATGCTTAGGAACACTTCCTCTTGTGAACCTACATTTTCTCGAACACATGTTTCTCATTTCGAGCAAAACTTTTATTTAAACAAAGGGAACTCTAATTTGACTTGTGAGTGCAATGCTTTAAAACTATATTTAACTGATCTCCAATTCTCCATCACCAGTTTTGGTTATTTAACGGTTTTTTCCCGTTTTTCTAACTAATTTAAATTTTCTTGGGTTTTATTATCAACCCAACCACAGTGAAGTCTAAGGTCACAATTTTAAAAACAGTGGTGAAGTAGAATTATTTACTGAAAATTTTATTTACAACTTGTAAAATTATTTAAAACTTTTTAAAGTTTTGTAAATTATTCAAAATTCAAATTATCCATAATTTATATTATATTGTATTAGTTTATAATTAAAAATGATAAACGAGAAGCTATGCTTAAGACTTTTAACCGATATCGACCCAACTTAAAAGGCTCCAAAGTGAACCGAACCAAAATAAATATCCTGATAGATCCTATAAAAAACAAAACAAAACTGACTCAAGAACCGTATAATATCCAAAAGTATTATTCATAAAAATTATTCATATTTATATTTGAAATTAATAAAATACCCAAAAATCACATGAACAAAGCATATAGTCATCAGTCATAGACACATATAGACCTTTAGTTGGATGCACGTACAGAAGAAAATATGTTGCCAAGAAGTTTAATCAACTTACCACACTAACTATTCAAAGAATCAAGAAGCAAAAGTCACCTAACTCGTACTAAAGAACCCAAGATCACAATTGGCAACAAAGAGTGAACGATAGATGACTGGACAATCAGTGAAACTACAAAAAAATGTGTTCACCAAATAGATCTTTATATAATCTAAAACAAAATAACTACGAAATTCATACAGAAAACTCTAATAATGTTCACTAGTACAGTAACTTGATGCTCTACGTTGTCTACTATCAAACAGAAAACTAGATTATGTACATAAACGTAGAAAGTCAGAGAAAACTCCATGTCTAACAACTATTATAGCAAACTACGGTTTACAAATAAAAAACATTTACTCGACCTAAAGAACATATATAGAAGATCAAGGCACTTATTCCACATGCCTACAATGAGGATGACAAATTTGGGGTTTATGTACTGCAAATTTCTTGATCTTTGACATCAATCATAGAGAAATAATACTAAATAAAAAGGAAATTAAGAAAGATCAAGCTCCATCAACTAAGAGACAACGGGATAGACAATAATACCACAATAGAGATACCTTCAGTCATTGTTACTAGACAAACTAAAGTCATCGAGAAAATAATATATAATCTAACACAATTATCACCATCAACGTAAGGTGCAGAATTTCAGAATATGCAGAACTTCAGAATTGCGAGAATGCCATTTTACATGTTTAGAATGATTAGATCCATAATGCAAAACAAGCATAGGCATTGATGATGGACCCTTAATTTAGTAGTATAATTTAGGATAAACATACAAGAATAGATATGTCCAAGAAAGGTTAATCAATTTACCACACTCACTATTCCAAGAACCAAGAAGCAAAAGTCAAAATGGTATTATCAGACCCGTACCACAAAGAATGAACAATAAGCAGACATACAACCACCAACCAAAATGTAAGAACCACAAAGAATGATCAATAAGCAGACACACAGCCACCAACAAAAATGCAATGCAAGAACTGTGTTCACAAAACGGATCTTATAATTTAACACACAACAAAACTAATCGAAATTCAAATTGTTCATTATAAACAAACAATCAAGAAGAAATGTTATTTACTTGTCCATTATGATGCAAGTGTTAGAATGTGAGGATGCCATTTCGCATGTTAAGAATGATCACCAAATATTTAAACCGTAATGCATACATATAAGCACCAAAGAGAGATAGTAAGTGTTTTTTCTTTAGAGAAAAAACAACAAAATATAGAGATTTCTTAGTTTGTCAACACACAATGTAACGTTCCAAAACCCAGTTCTTTTTATCATTTTATCAATGGATATAGTAGCAGATATATATCTACAAGAAAGATACCAAGATATCCATTTCGTAAAATGAGAGACCTTACATACAAGTACCAAATCAAGCATATAGAACCAAGACAGAGGTTACTTAATCCTCACACTGCGAACACAAAATCTAATGTTCCAATACCAAAATAAAACTTTCTTTAAATCAATGGATATGAGTTCAAGGATAGTAGAGTTATCAAGACAACTATATATCTAAGAAAGATTTAAATGGCGCTTAGATCAGTATTTCTATGTCTAATTTTACGATATATATAACCTGACTTAATTTTTTATTTTTATATTCAATAATATCAATTTAGCACCGAAAAATTTAGAAAAGCATATACCTGTGAGGTCTCTATGTCTGAGAAGCAGAAAAGTCTAATCAAATCCATGAGAATATGAGCACCTTTTGAGCATATACCTGAACAAAACCAGAATTAGTCTTTACTTCATGAATGTGTCTCCTACTTGTGAGTTTCATAATTATTAATTAAATTACACACACCACAACAAATCAAAATCAGTCTTAACGTCACGTATGTGTCTCCTTATTGTGAGACGACTCACAGTAGTTTCAGTTAAATTACAAACAAGTTTCACAGTTGGTCTTTGCTCTGGTTCTACAACAAGGCAAAGGTTTCCATAAGCATCTTATTTAGTATTTATTTCACAGTTATATCAACTAATTTATAACAAGTTTGAAAAACACACATACCTGTAAAAGAAGTCTGCTACATTCCTTGGAGTCTCTAACAATTTGAACACCTTCTGAAGCACATACCTGCGGAAATAAGAAATACAATTAGTCTCTACTTCCAACTAAAATCCCTCATACTTAGCTTTTTAGTTTCATTGCGCAGATCATGAATCTGTATTTATACATGATCTTTGAAGCTGTGATCGTATTTCCCATCCAACGAATCAAACATTGATAATTAGTCTTTCTCTAAAGACCTTAAGCCGATAAATGATATTTGTCTAAACAGAGGTTCCACGCTCTACTTCTTTAAGTCTTGTGGTCGTTTATCCCATCCAACAAGTCAAACAATTCACAGTCTCTTTGCCTTAAGGACTTTTTTTTAAGGTTGTTTGTCGTTAATCCATCCAACAAGTCAAACCAGTTCACAATATCTTTGCCTTAAAGACTTTCTTTTTGTTGGTCTTTAAATCCATTCCAACAAGTCAAACCAGTTCACAATCTCTTTGCCTTAGAGACTTTTTATCAAGGTTGTTGGTCGTTAATCCCATCCAACAAGTCAAAACAGTTCAGAATCCCTTTGACTTAAAGACTTTCTTCAAGTTGTTGGTCGTTAATCCCATCCAACAAGTCGAAAACCAATTTGTAATCTCTGTCTAGAGAATTTTTCTAAGCCGTGGGTAGTACTAGTGAATCCGTTTTCAATGCAGTCTTTGCCTTAAAGACTGTTGATAAGCTGTGGGTACAATTAAAGGCTTTTGGTCGTTTATTCCATCCAACAAGCCATACCAATTCATAGTATCTTTTTTTTTGAAGTTGTTGGTCGTTTATCTCATTCAACAAGTCAAACCAGTTCTTCACAATCTCTTTGCCTTAAAGACTTTCTTTAAGTTGTTGGTCGTTAATCCATCCAACAAGTCAAACCAGTTCACAATGTCTTTGGCCTTAAAGACTTTCTTTAAGTTGTTGGTCGTTTATCCCATCCAACAAGTCAAACCAATACACAGTCTCTTTACCTTAAGCCGTGGGTAGTACTAGTAAAGTAGTGAATCCGTTTCAAATCAGTCTTTGCCTAAAGACTGTTGATAAGCCGTGGGTACAAGTAAAGTAACAAATTCACTACTTTTTCAAAGCCGTGGGTACTAGCAAAAGAAACGTATCCGTTTCCAATTCCCAGTAAGCTGTGGGAGTAAAGCATTAATAGTCCTTAGACTTTAAGCCGTGGGTAGTGTTTATAGTCCTTAGACTTAAGTGTTTATAGTCCTTAGACTGTAACCCGTGGGTAGTGTTTATAGTCCTTAGACTTTAAGCCCTCTGTCATGTTTATAGTCTTTAGACTTGAAGTGTTTATAGTCCTAAGACTTTAAGCCGTGGGTAATGTTTAGAGTCCTTAGACTTTAAGCCGAGGGTAGCAAAACCAGTTTATAGTCCGTAGACTTTAAGCCGTGGGTCATGTTTATAGTCCTTTGCCACAAGAATTCAGACTCTTTTATAATCGTTAGTTGTTTTTCCCTCTCCATCTCATCCGATAGTCAAAAGCCAACTCACAGTCTTTTTCTGGAGACTTTTAAACCGTATGGCTTATCTTCCATCCCTTTAGGTATGCACTACCAACCATATAGATTGACGCAACCGGACAATGTCCCCAACAAGTATCTGACAAAAACACTATTATTTTAGTGTCTTGCCTTTGATCTTTTGGGGTTGAAGAGAAAAAATATAAAAAATAAGAATCGGCAGTTTGACTGAACAAGTAAAAGAGTAAGTAAAAGAGCTTAACTGTTTGCTGCTGCTACTTCTTTAGTTGCTTCAGTGGCTTATCAACGATGAGTTCTCCATACAAGACACTGTTAGAAAATCAAAAACAGAGAGAGAGAGGTTAAAGTAAGAGACATCTAAAAGAACAACCGTAGAATACAAAAAACAAATCTTAAAATTGGTTTCAGATCTCTGTTTAAAAGTAACACTTTGATTTAAAAGTAAATCTCATTTCTCTATTTCCATGTTTCAGCCTGTGATTTCCTAGTTGTACAAAGAAACTTTATTTAAACAGTGGTGATAAATGCTAGCACAAGAAATCAATCAAAAGGATTCGAACGTATGTATGTAAGCCATCTACTCTACTCATTCTGTTCATTTCGTTTGTTCTAATACATCAAATTCCCTGAAGTTTATAACACAATCATCTGTAAAAGCAATAAAAGATCAAATCCTAATTAATTTATACGGTAAGTGCATTCCCAGTATGAGTCTAGCAAAAGAAGATTCAAGGTTACTTACAGTAATAAAAGAGATCAAGACTCACATCAATTTATCAGAAATAATTTTGTTCTGTTCCTAACGATCATGTGTAAATTAAGGACCTTTATGTATAACATATCTTGATTCCTAAATCTTAAAACTTTGTCCATGTCAAATGCTTAAACACAGAACGAATTTCACAATTGATCATATGTATTTCTCCTCGTTCGATTTCATCCTCAAATACGGTAAAATAAAACAAAAATTTCAAAATATACACCCAGAAAACTGAAACCCTAACATACACGGACAAGAGAATTACCTCGGCTCGGCGGCGGCGATTTTTACGGGGAGTCAAGCTTCCGAGTAGATTCGCGATCACTACAAAAATAACATAAGAACGATTAGACTACTTGAAAACCCTAAATCAAAATCGCGGAGAGGAAAATAAAGAAACCCAAACCCAATATATCGCATCAGTTTGATGCGGAATCAAATCAGAAAACGAAAACCCTAAATTAAATCAAACCCAAAATAAATCGCGATCTAGATAAATTGAAAAACTTACCAATCTAAGAAGTAAGAACGAAAGAATTTGGCCGTTGTAGAAATCGTCGAAGAGGTGATCGAGAGAATTTATCTAAAAAGAAAAACAAAGAGAGAGAGTGAGTTTGGAAGAAAACAAGTTTTGCGAAGAGCTGAGAAAGTTTCTCTTGTGCTTTTATTAATTTACAGTTGCCACTTTGACTCGTAACAAACACAGTTTTCCTAACGGATATGTTTTCAAATGTCATGGGCTTTTTAGTTAGCCCAACCAAAGGGATCAATTTATGTTTTTTTTTTTTGTCGTTACCTCTAGTCACATTTGTTTATTTGTTTTTGGTACGTTAGTCACATTTTCTTTTGCCCAAGTAGTTAAAGAACTTCGGAGAAAGACGGTTAAGGTCTAAACTCTAAACCGGAAACAGAAACGGATTTAAACCATAACACCGGCTATGCAATATAAACAGATTTTGTCTTTATATGGACACAATTGGCCGATCTATTTTCCCGAGCACATTGATGATATACAAGAATAAACCCACCGGCCTTCTCTACTGTTATATTTACTTCCTTTCAACAACGTTCTAAGACTCGTCCGGTTTTGGTTCGAGAGTTACAGATATCTTCTCCTTATGGTCGCCTCTTAAAACCTCCACGGACACCTGAGAAAAATCACCTCAACAAGATCAAATGTCAAAACTCTCTCAGTTGCAGAAACATAATTTAAGAGAAATGCAGTTTTTTGGTACCTTATCACCGACTTTGCATTGATCGAGAATCCGGTACAGATCACTCCCGTTGGAAACTTTCGTACCGTTCACCGACGTGATTATGTCTCCTAGTATTAGTCTCCCGTACCCGTCACGTTTCGTTGACTGAAGTCCCTGTGGAACAAAAGACAAAACCAATCATCACTCACACATTTTCAAATGTTAATATCCGCCGTGTGGCTTTATTTGTGTTGCCGCATTTCTCTGTTTCTGCCTAAAACTAAAACCAGAGAGTTACGAGAAGGGGCTTACGGCTTTCCCAGCAGGACCAGTCGGAGGAGCATCCAATACGAGCACGCCGCTCACTCCCAATTGCTCAACGGATTGGTCCGGTGCGAATTTGATACCTAAGATTGGTCTTGTGACTTTCCCAAACTTCACCAGCTGATCAACGATACCACCAACCTGAACATGAGATGAAACAGAGACTTAAAGAAGACTCTTTCGGATCAGGCTTGGAATGGGAAAGTTGAAAAATGAGAACTCACGGTGTCAACTGGGATCGAGAAGCCAACTCCAGAAGATGCACCAGAAGGAGAATAAATGGCGGTGTTTATACCAATTAAGGTTCCTGAACTATCTAGAAGCGGCCCTCCGCTGTTACCAGGGTTGATGGCTGCATCCGTCTGTATCACATCTTGAATTGGACGACCGGTTGCAGCAGAACTAATCTCTCTTCGCAAACCACTGTATACATCATAATACGCCACAGTTTCAGGAAGAGAAAGCACCATAGATATGGTTTTGTATACGTACAGTAAAGTAAAGCAATTTGTCATTTGGATCCTTAACATACCTTATAACACCAGTTGTCAGAGTATGATCAAGTCCAAACTGCAAAACAAAAATAAACACAAATGATTCTTGCTTTTTAAGTGTGTGTATAGGAAACAGAGAATCTGATAATGTTTAAGGATGTATACTCACAGGATTGCCAATGGCAAAGACTTTCTGGCCAACAAGCAAATCTGCAGAGACTCCAACAGGTATAGGTCGTAATTTGTCCTTTGGTGCATCGATACGTAGAACCGCAACATCCTTGTCTTGGTCGAATCCAACAACTTTTGCATCATATGTTGTTTGATCAGCAAGAGTTACCCTGTTATGGATCATAAAATTTCTTCATCATGATAAACAAACATCCAAGTAAAATATGAAACAGTGTAGTCCTCTCACAAAACTATTCTAATTTTCATATCTTAGATGAATCAAAGACTATAGTTCCACTTAAATGCAACCACTAAGACTATAGTTCCAGGTCAGATTTCGAAATTCAACAGAAAGAGAAATTAACCTGAGATCAGAAGCACCACGGATGACATGATAATTGGTGACAATGTGACCTTGCTTATCCCACACGAACCCTGAACCAGATCCTTGTGGCACCTCAAGAACGTCTAATGTGAACGCGTCCTGCCTAATTCAAACCCAGAGAAATGAAATCACAATAGACAACTGAGAGAGAAGAAGATTACATGCAAATGTACGGTGAAATTGATCAACATAGTTCATCCACACAAGAAATTACCCATTAAGCAAAACATAGAGTATTGAATAATTCCACCAATTAACGATGAGAAATCGAATTCAAATTCAAAATGAGAAATTCTTCGAATACGGAGATAGATATCACAGAGGCGAGAAATTTGATACCTCACGGCGAGATTAGTGATGTATACAACGGAAGGAGTGTTCTCCTGGAACAATCGAACCGTCGCGAGCTCATCTGTCTGTAGCTTCTTCGGAGTAGTGACGACGAACGCAGTAGCGGATTCGACGGCGGGAGACGCGGCGAAAAGGGAAAATGACAAAGCGACGGAGGTGCAGAGGAGGAAGAAAGGCTTTACGGCGGAGAACGGAGGTCCAAGCGATTTAAGAAGACCATCATCATCTCCGTTGTCGTCTAGTGGAAGCTTCGAGAAAATCCGCAGACACCGTCTCGATCGGATAGGGTAGAGAGAAATCGAGCTCGGAGACGATCGCGAAGAGAGATTCAAGAAGGTTCCATTGGAGAAATGAGAAGAAGGAGGAGAGTGAAGGAAGAGAGTAGAAAGGAGAAGCGAACAACTCGTCGCCATTTCTTTCTGTTCATGGACAAATGGGATTGTGGCTCTGTTTTATTTCATTTGTTTTATTTATTTTTTAATCAATATGTTTTCATTTTCGACTATAAGAAAATTATTCTTTTTTTAGGCTTTCAACTTCCAGGAGAAAGAATTGTCACCATTTTGAACGCTAAAAAATGATTAGTGGTACTACTCTATCCTTTCTTTCTTCAAACCTTCACAAAATCGTGACTTTCTCGAGATGTATTTATGTAAATCTAGTAGATAAAAGAGTAAAACCAAAAAAAAATTAAAGGTGTGTTTAGTAGAAGGAGCATAGCTCACTATTCTGGTGGAGAAGAGAAAACACTTCAGAACTCAGAGAATCTTCTGAGGCGGTCTAAGTTCTTTTGGCAGTTCAGTGAAATTCCCAGCGTCTACATCGGATTGAAACATTGGTCTTTTCCCCATCTGCCACACGATCCCTTCAGCGAGATGCTCTTTGTTCGGTGTCAGCATTACAAAGTTTGGATCAGCTCTTTGGTAACTGCAATATGCCAAGAGAACATTTTGAAATGTTACAAATACTGTTTTGTTTGAAAGCATGAAACTTAAGGAGGGTTGATTAATATCAAACTAGTCATTCATGGACTTACCTCGCTTCTCTTAAGTTATCAACACGGAGACCGAACCCATATGCTGTTTGCCTAGTCGAATGATTAGTAGTTGCTGCATAACAAAATGGCCAGAGATGTTCATGTTCCAGAAATCTATAGAGATTGATTTCTCGAACTATTCATCAATGGAACTCCACTATTTTTATGGACATACCTGAAATATTGAATGCGAAAGACGGTTTCCACCACGACTTGAATGCTAATGAGAATGTTGAGCTTTGAGCTCCGACTTTACCCTGCAAATTGTCGAAAAATATACATAATGAGATAATGATATTTTTACTAAGCTTTCTGGATCGTAGAAAGCTTATTAACACACCTTCAGCAAGAAGTTCTTATTGGCTTGCCAAGATGCAGCCATTTGCAATGATGAATCTTTGAAATTTTCTGATGTCTTGGTTTCATCGACCCTTCAATACAAGAGAAAAAAAGATGAAGGTATGTTTTCATGCAAATAGACGAACATTAGCTTTACAATGTTTCTGCTCAAGATGTTCACTACCTCGTTTGTAACTCAAAACCCAAGTCAATGTAGTTTGTGATTCCAACTACTTCGTTTTCCTCAAAAGGATTTTTCACCTGTTTCAAGTCCATTTCAGATTGAGCCAGAAGTTGTGCTAAACTTTATAAATCAGTAGACCTCGTAATAGATGCAGCACAGAAAAAGGACTAGTTTGAAAAAAAATCTTACCCGTCTTTGGACCACTACATGTTGGTAGAACGAAGCGATAAACTGCATTTACAAGAAGGATAACAAAATCAGCAGGGCTAAAAATGCAACCAACAAAAATACTACAGAAGTTGAGGAATTGTTTAGGCTCAAGCTCAGTGCATACAGCCATATATCCATCGAAACAGACTTTAAAAGTATGACCTGAGAGCTCCTCGCTAGTTCAAGGCCAAAGTTGAAAGAAGGGCTTAAGGGGCTTCTGGACCCTACTCCATAGCCAGCAGCACAGCTCCAGTTCCTTAGGTCCGTGTACTTCTCGCTGTCTTTGCTTTTATCTAATACAAAGTTCCGTTACTAGTGTTGATGCTCACTTTTCTTTCAACCGCATAATGTATAGATTCCACAAATGAAATCTGGTCAAAAGGAATAAAAATAATCTACCACATAGCGGCTCATATTGCACTCCTACTGTCAGCCTTCCCATCTTGCTTACCAACCATGCACTCTTTGGCAATTCGTCTTTTGCTGAAATGAGGAGTGAAACTGTCAGCATTATGTGCAAAAAAAAAGTAAATAACGGGAAATTGCAGAGGAACTAGAGGCGCTTACTAGTAAAAGGAGAGACAGTAGCTCCCAGAGATAAATTCGTAGAGCCATATCTCAATCCCATGATTCCATATTCTTCAGATAATTTTTCACTACAGAAACAACATATTTTTCATATTCACAATATTACATTATAGACTAACATCCATTATAAGTAAATGTAAGTAACTTACTTCTTTTTTGAAAGCAAAGGGTAGATTGCAAATGCTCCAATCCCATATTTAGGGTAGTAAGCCGAAGATCTCATCAGTAGAACCCTTAGCGATGACAAAAAACAAAAGAATCATTCCAAAACGTTAAGCTACTGTAACGAAAATTAGCCACCAGAAAATATTATAAGTAGTAGCATGGAGTTTACGGGTTTGAGGTTGACACAGAGAGGTCCACAAAAGTATGAGGATCATCGACATCACTGCACATTTAAGAAATAATTAAAACTGAACAGGATTCTAATATTTTCAGAGAGAAAAAAACTAAAATCCAAATGCCGTATTGTATACCTTTGCCAACGAAAGAGAGCATCTCCCACGAGATCTCCTTTAGCTTCACTGTCTAGAGCGCCTGAAACCTTTATATACTATTAAGGAAAATTTACAATTTGTACTGCACAAGACGAGATTCTTAGAGGCATCATTATACACAGCTGAAAAGAGTACAGAGTTTTTTATAATGGATACAGATGCAACCAAGTCCACATGAGGGTCATCCATAGGCTTCAACAGGAACTTTGCAGAGAAGTGACGCGCTTCTTCAAAGTAATCCTCAAAGAGACATTTCAATGCAAGCTTCCCAAACAGTAGATTGTATGATGGCTCCAACATCCTGCATCACCTCAACAGTTACAATAAAACTGAGCAAAATACACATTCCCAGTGCAATCATATGGAATATATCAAATCACATATAATGACCCCAAGGTATATCAATCTAAGACCTGAGCATAAGCACACAGACATTCACAAAATAGCAATCAGAATCCATAAACTGATAGATATGCATAGAAACGGCGGGTAATAGATTATCTATCAGGTCAGGGTGACACACAAAAATTGATCGGAACTTGGCGATTTTGAAATTTGAAATTCCGAGTGGTATAATAGAAGAAGAGGATACCGGTTACGGGCGGAGAGAGGAGGGAAATCAAAGAGCGGAGGGACGAGCACCACCGGAGGCGGCGGTTCCTTGGGCAGAAAGTTCCCCATTGCTAGACAGATAGTAGCGAGGGGCTCTCTTGTTGTTGTTGCTGCTACTTGAGCTTCGAGAAATCAATCAAATCGGTGGAAGAAGAGAGTTAGTGAGTGTGACGAGACGAAGAAGAGCAGCGTTGGTCTCGCTTCCTTTTCTCCTTTTCCCGTTTGAATCTCTCAACACTCCTAAAATAAGAAACCGAGCAAACCCAACCGACTCGGAAGCTTCCGAGACTCCGATAGAAAACGAAAACCTTCTCTAGAAAAAAAAAAACGAAAAACTTATGGAAATTAAATTGCATTACGCTGACGTGGCACTTGTTTCGCCACCGTGTCGCGCTCACTGTGCTGCTGTGGCGCTTCGGGAAATGCACTAATTTTTTGTTTTTGATTGGTTTTGATACTGTTAATGTGATTTGTGCTTGGATCTAACACACTATGATATTTGATGTCATAATATGATTTATTTTACGTTTAGAGTATCTAAAATTACCTAAATCTTTACTAAACGTTGTTCTAGACAGGTGGCCGTTCCTTTAACGTAAATATACGTCATATTTTCGGCCTATAGTTTCATAAATTTACATGTAAGAAGTTGACATTGGACTACACTGGTTACTCACGTGATCAACTGTATGATAAAAAATGACTTTAAAAAAAAATCGATATGAATTCCACATGAATCACATCAGCAACTTGCTCGTTCAAATATCACAAAAATAAATTATATATATGCCTTAGTTTAGTCTTATTAAAAAAACAATACTAACATGCCAACGAACATGGAGCGACGACTTCTTGATCACTATATAGGAGAAAAGCTTCTTGTTAAAGGGGTCTTTGAATCTACTTACTCCATGGAGACTTCCAAATTTACTTTTTTCACCATCCTCTTTCTTTTCGGGTTCAATGAGAACTTCTCCATCGCATTGCGTATTAGTTCTCACAAGAGTTGCAATTTCCCGGCAGTTTATAACTTCGGAGATTCAAATTCAGATACCGGAGCTATCTCAGCCGCCATCGGAGAGGTTCCTCCACCAAATGGAGTTGCCTTCTTCGGAAGATCTGCAGGAAGACATTCCGATGGCCGTCTCATTATAGACTTCATTAGTAAGTTGTCAAATTCTAATTCTTTGTTCTTTTAGTCTTACTTCAAGAAGTTAAGCTACACTGACTTCATACTTTAGATCCGGTGAATTAGACTTCCATATTAAAATAGACCAAAGTTTGTAGCATTTGATTTTAGTGCAATGTAATAAACAGTATTTGTTATAAATTGTGGCAGCTGAAAATCTCACGTTGCCGTATCTAACACCATACTTGGATTCGGTTGGAGCTAATTACCGGCATGGTGCTAATTTTGCGACTGGCGGTTCTTGCATCCGCCCGACCTCTACTTGCTTTAGCCAGTTCCATCTTGGGACTCAAGTGTCCCAATTCATTCACTTCAAGACTCGTACTTTGTCTCTCTACAACCAAACCAATGGTTAGTTATTCGGTTTAGTCATAAAAATTACCATACCAGAATTTAAAATTAATACCCTAACTTCTTTTGTGAACACTTTGCATTTTATTTTTGCGTCAGGAAAAACTCCATTCTGCAAAGAAGTCCTTGCAAGACCCAAAGATTTCTCAAAAGCTCTTTATACATTCGATATCGGCCAGAACGATCTCGCGATCGGGTTTCAAAACATGACGGAGGAACAACTCAAAGCAACTATACCCAAAATCATCGAAAACTTCACTCTTGCTTTAAAAGTAAGTAACTATCTAAATTAACCGCATGGTTTTGAGTTGAAATCACGTGAAACTTAACATATCAAATTATGAATTACACATCGTATCTTATTACATGGTATATATACTTTAGTTGCTATACAAAGAAGGAGCAAGATTCTTCTCAATCCATAACACTGGACCGACGGGTTGCTTACCATATATTCTGATAGCATTCCCGGCTACACCGCGAAATTGGGACGGTTGTTTGAAGCCTCTGAACAATGTTGCGATTGAGTTCAACAAGCAGCTCAAAACCAAAATTGCTGAACTAAACAAAGAGTTACCTTCTTCGCTCTTTACTTATGTTGATCTCTACTCAGCAAAATACCATTTGATCGTCAGAGCAAAGAATCACGGTTAGTACCAAACCGAAAACCAATTAGAGCAAAACTTCATATTGTTCCGGTTTCCATATACATTTAAACCATCTGCTAATTGTGTAGGTTTTGTGGATCCTTTTGATTATTGTTGCGTTGGGGCGATCGGACGTGGAATGGGATGTGGAAAGACAATATTTCCAAATGGGACAGAACTTTATAGTTCTTCATGTAAAAACCCAAAAGAATTCGTAAGTTGGGATGGCATACATTACTCCGAAACCGCGAATATGCTTGTCGCAAAATGGATCCTTGATGGTTCCATAACCCATCCGCCTCTCCCTACTCAAGAATCTTGCAAGGTGATGAAGAAAAATTAAGTTTCCAAAAATGTTATGAATTAATGAATGTAACTAGTATAGTTTTGTCATTCGCTTTGCGTTTTGTTGCTTTCGAATAATTAAAAAAAAAATGATTCAGATCATATATATTTATATAATCTGATTCAGGCCAAACAAAATTATTAGTGACTTGTATGGTAGTAAGTATTAAATCAAAGTATCGGTTTCGGTAGACAGTAGTAAATATTCAGCATGATTTTACTTTTTTTTTAAACAGTCACAATAGTCATCACTCGAACGAACCAATTCCAAGAGCATACTAACAAGACAATTTCTCGACATAGTGATTGGTGATTAAAGAAATGAGAGAAGATGGGCTTTGCTTTGCTTGATGACAACTTTTTTTTGGTTCTTTTGCTTAGTGACAACTTCTTGATTCGGTGGGTCGTTCTCTTTATGTTCTCATGTTACATGTGGATAGATATGTGTTTATTCGGTTGCTATTAGATACATGAACATGACAGTCTATCTATGATCTTTCTCTGCTAGGTTGTAGACAAGAGTTGATCAAAACACTTGTTAACACAACATCAGTGGTCCCTTCAAAAAGATATCAGATTCAAACACTTGTTTACACAAGGTTAGTAGTAGTGTTCAAAGCCAGATAAACTCTAATTTAGAAGATTTCATACTTCAACCAAATGTATTCTTTCTGTAGTAATGTTCTTTTTGTCAACATTGTCTCTTTCTATAATGTTGGTTCCTTCAAATAATAAACAAAAATTCACTACCTTGCATATTCATTCGTTGAGAATCATAACCACAATTGCGTTAACTCTTACTCTTTATTAACAACAAAAATCAAAGTGACAATAGATACAAAACAAACGCAACAAACTTGAATGTTTAGCATATCTCTGAATCAAAGATTCTAATAAAATCAGAAAACACAAAACCTCTTCTTTTTTTCTTTTCGACCGTGTAATTACTGTTTTTGAACTCGTATTCCGTATATATATACATTTCAGACCGGACCACAACCCGGTTCATCAATAAACCTGTCTCTGTCCAATGTTCGGTGCAATCTCAGGGTTTTTGTCCAAAAGAGTAAGAAGTGCTCTGTTTCTCTTGCTCCTTCCTCTTCCGGCTTCTTTCAACAACGCAGCCAGCCTCTGCTTCTCATCCTCCACCTCCGGATTCGCCGTCCCAAGCTTCTCCTCTCTCGTCCCAACCACATACTCCAATATCTCTATAGCATCATCTAACCTGTATACCAAGCAACACATCGCTTGCACCTCAAGAAACCTCGGAAAATAAACCTAACCTAAAGAGAAAAAGATCTGTCAAATTTACCTGCCCATTGCGTCATATGTTCCGGCGAGGTTACTGTAAACCGCCAATGTATCAGGATGGTACGGTCCATTCTCTTTCTCAAGAATGGTTTTCGCTTCTTCAAACAAATCCGCAGCTTCATTGATTGCGTAACGTTGAACGCAAGCAAGCCCCATCTGATTCAGAGCAATCCCGAAAAGAGCCGTTTTCTTCTCTCCACTGTTGCGAAACTTCGAAACCGCGCTCTTGAAAATGTTGTAAGACTCAGGATAGTTCCCAATCATGTAACAAATCACACCCATTTGCGCTTCAATACCAGCAATCGTGTTCTGTTGACCAGGAGCGTTTGCGTATATCTTCAACGCACGTCTCAGCAGCTTCAAAGACTGCTCCAACTCGTTCATCGACTGATATAACGCAGAGATCTCTATAAAGCCAGTCGCAACCTCTTCCGCTTGAGTCCCTGGAGACGGTTTTAGGTAAATCCTAAGAGCGTTTTCGCAGTAGGATTTCGAGTCGCGGATTTTCCCGATCTTGTTGTATAAATCAGCGAGCCTGACGTAAACCGAAGCCACAGAGGAATGGTTCTCACCTTTGGCTTGCTTAAACACAGCCAAAGCCTTCTGGTAAGCGAATATCGACTCGTCAAACCTAGCTAGAGACATGTACGCATCACCGATACTACAATCTATAGACGCAACATCTTCTCTGTGATTCTGTGACGACATAGCCATGCTCGCTAAAACGTAATGCTCAAGCGCAACCTCGTAATCTCCCTTGGCATCGCAGATGAGTCCCATCAGTTTTCTATCCGCAGCTTCTTCGATCGAAGCTGTAGTGTTTGCTCCGTTCTCTTTGTGAATGTCTAACGCCATTTGGCAAAGCCTTGAGGCTTCTTCGAACTGCATTGCTTGCACGTGAGCTTCTGCTAAGTACCTACAAGTTTCTCCGACTCTTGCGTCCGATTCTCCAAGAACTTGTCTTTGGATCTCCAAACCTGCCGTGTAGAGCAAGATTGAGTTTTCGACTTGACCCATCAAACCGTACATGTCCCCGAGCTGCATGCAACCTGCGAACTTCGCTAACGCGTGGTCTTCGCCGTCTTCGATCATCGGTATCTCGATGGACCGCTCGAGAACAGGAACTGCCTCGTTGTGTCTCCCTAAACCGGCGTAGATCGCTGCCAAGATATGCAGAGACATGACCAGGTTTAAACCGTTTTGTTTCTCTCCTTCGACGCATTTCTCAAACGCTTTCACCGCTCTCAACGCCAAGTCAAGAGCTTTGTTTAGATTCTCACCGGAGGAAACCATCTCTCTTGCTTGCTTCAACAGCAACGGTCCGATCTCGGGACTCTCCTCCTCCACGGAATCTGGAGATTTCCTCGATGAGATCCTCGAGCCGGGGAGTTTCCGGTTAGGGCTCGTTTTCGCAAGCTTCTTACCGTTTGAAAGAGATTCACTTGGTTTCTTCTGACTCAAGTTACCTCCTCTGTTTTTACTCTCGTTGCTGTTACTTTTTTCCTTCTTCTCCAAGAAAGTCTCTTTCTTTCTCTCTCCGACTTCTTCTCCAACATCTCCGACTAAATGCCTCAGCTCCAAATCGATTCTCGATTCAGCGCCGTACGAGATGAAACTCGCACGCGACGGTGACTGGTCGTCGGAGCTCTCCATTTCGCAGACGTTGTGGTAAAGCTGCTCGATGGAAGCGTTCATGGCGCCATCCATGGCGAGATCTATGGAGCTTAAAGGACTCTTCGGTGAGGTTTGAAGGGCCGAATCGTCTTTTCCTCTCTCGTGGTTTCCATTCCCATTGCTTTCTTCTATGTCCATGCCCAAATTCAAAGTCTCTCCCTTTGTCGCTCAAATCACAATCTGCTATAAGAAAATCTGAGATCAAAGGGTAAAATCAAAACCGGTTTTCTCGAGATTTAGATTTGAATCGGTTAAAACAAAAAGATCAGTAATTAACTAAATTGAGAACCATCAATCAATAACGAACTCCCCAGAATTATCTAGATTCAGTTACTAACAGAGACGATGAAAACAGAGCACAAACCCAGTATTGAATTAGAAGGAATTCAGATGAAAAATGAAAACTTTGAAGAAATTAGAGATAAAAATCGTACCTTTTTGTGAGTCTGTAACTCTGAAGAAATCTGGGAGAAGGCAAAGAGAAGACTGAATTGTGCTTCGTGGCTTAGTTGGGTGATGAGATAAAAGAAATCAAAATCAAAATGGATGATGATTTGGTGTCTTGTACTTTTCGCTTTTAGGTGTTTATATCTTCCCTCTCATTGTCTCATAGCTAATATATACATATAAACAAAATATGTACACACTCTCTACAAAGTAACTTAATGGGAGAGATGAAGCAACAACATTTATGTGCAAACCCTTTCACTGTCCTATTTGTTAAAGAAAAGGGATAGGTTTCTCTTTTAGGGGTCTACAAGAGCATTGTTAAGTAATGATTTAATTCTAATCCACCTTTTAATTCAATTATTATGTAGATAAAGATAAGGAAGAATGATAATTGACTCGTATTTTCATGTGATTAGTAATATTAATATCATTTCGAAAAGTTACAGACAAAATAAATAGCCTAAAAGAATCATTCGGTATTGAAGAAGATTGACTCTTGAAGCAATAAAAGAGAGAGATGACTTCTCCCCTACTCGCACTCCCTCTCTCAGATTTTTTTTTTAATAAATAAATTTATTGCTTTGAAATAATAATATCTCGTCCATTTCAACTTTCAAGGTTGGTTTTTTATATAAAAAAAATCTTAAAAGAACAATTTTTGGGGATTTCTTAAGTTAGGTCTAAGCAGTAAGCAATATTACTAGGACACTAGTAGTAAAAAAGAAGAATAATGTTTAGAGTTTGATCGTTAACAGCCAGCTAATTAATGCTGGGAAAAGATCACAAGTCTACGTCAAACAATTGAAAATTCCCAGCTGTATAATCGCTCCGTTGTGATTCCGCCACGTATCAAACTTAATAATTCATTTTCTTTAATCATCCCTTAATCTTTTTTATGTGAACTGTTAAAAAACAGAGAGCCTTTTGATATGCTCTGTTAATTACTAAAGACAAAAGGAAAAGAAAATTGGACCACTAGATTCATTCTATCAACTTGTGTTAATTAAGTAAATAATTTCATCTTAGGGGATAATGACGAAATGATGCGACACGTGGACTACAGCTGCATACCAAGATAGACAGCCTGGTTTTATGAATCAGAAGTGGTCCACCTTAAAGCCCATTACGGCTCCATGGGCCCTTATAGTCATCAGTGTGGGGCCAACCCAATGTTTTTTTTTATGCAATAGTAACGATAAGAAGGAAAAAAAAAACTTCTTTTCTTGTGTGTATGGATTATGAGTCCAATTTGTATTTTGATGCTTTTGTCAACATTCAAAATTTTGTTGACATAAGTTTGCCTTTTGAGTGATATTGTATAATGGAGTCGTATAGTTTAATGCCAACGACATTAGGTTATTTTGTTGCTATCTTCTTTTTTCACGAGTTAAATTTCTTTTTGGGATTAACGAATACTAACTAACCAAGATAATAGATAAATGACTTTGCAACCGCATTAGGTTATCTCGTTGGTCGGTCATATGTATGACTTTGGATTCTTACAAAAGACAGAGACAACCCACACGTTTGTTCATGATTGAAAGACCTAACCACTTTTTTTTTCTTTCTCATTTGTATTTTTGTATTGCATAAAGACAACCACATATGCTTTCTTTCTCAGGAAATGTTCATAAGTAAGTTAATTACTAAATATAGATCAAGATTGTTGTCCAAAAAAAAAATATAGATCAAGATCAACTTCTAATCATTGTCGACTGTTGGGCGGTGCTATTTCCTTTAAACTCTTTCGCCGCTCGAATCTCTATCAAATCTTATCAGTTCACTAATTGTTTTGTTTAATCAAATTCCTACGCGTTTATATACCGACATTTTTATTTTTCTTCAACAGCCATTTTTTTAGATAGGTAATGGTTTTTTGTCAACCTTATAAGTAGTACTATAATTTCAAAGTGTTTTGGTGCATTATAATTTGAAAGTTTCCGGTCGGACCTATTGAACCAAATTAATTAAACTAACATCTAACTAGCCGAACTCCATCATTTCCATCACAAACCATTTTAAAAGGAAAGTTGCTTCAGCTAGCCAGAAGCGACCATCTTCCCAAAAGTTATATATTAAAAGTTCGATATACGGCCAAAGCTCGAAATTTATATTACTTGAAACGAAAAAAATTAGCAGCGATAATTAGATTTGACTCATTGGTTTGCTTGTTGCAAACCCAAAATACTTTACACATATTATATTATAACAACACCGACAATCCAAAATAATTGTCTACTTAGTTTACGATTTATATATCTGTTATTGCAATATCCATGACAATATATTCGAACCTAAATAAATGAAAAGAGACATAATCTAAACATAGGTTAAATAACCAAAAAAAATCCTACACAAATAGGTAAATAAATTCCATGGTAAAACTAAAATGAAAAGGCTTATTGAATTTCCTGGTCAAATAAGCATCTTTCAGTCTTTTTTAAAGGTTCTCTGAAAGTTTACATCTTTTTTTTTTTTTTTCAAAATTAATTTCCCTTTTTCCACTTTTACAAGCAAAAATCCAAAGAGAAGAAGCATTATATTTGCTTTAGTTGTACGAATGGTTGTGGAGAAAGTTTGACTGTGCCATAATGGCTTCATGTTGTTCCCATGACATGCATGTATCTCTTAATTTGTATTTAGATCTCTCTTAGTTTTGTATAATGTAAGTCACTCATAGAGGAATGAGAAATATACATTTATACATTGACTGATATTAGAGACAATCTTCAAAACTGATAGACGCGGTTACCTCATCGGGTTAGAATGATGTTTATAGTTCTGTAATTCTGTTGAATTTGAATACTATGAAAAAAATTGCATGTATTTTTTTATTTATACATTAACAAAAGACATATGAAAAAGGCATTATCTTATAATTTCGCGCAGGTTATAATCTTGCGACATTGAAAACAGTTTGTGATTTCTATAGATTTTTATTATATGCAATTTGGTTTCTTCTGCGAGTCCATACATATGAATAGATGCAGTCATTGAACATGACACAAGAGGATCCGAAATACGGGGAATATACTAACTTTTTCTACCTAAATTTATGTGCATGGACCTACCAACCATGCCGCCTGTATATACAAATTTGTATATACATGGAACATGAATTTCATAAAAAAAGATATGTACACTAAAATGTGGAAAATATTTACATCAGAAATGCATAAGGTACTGTAACTGGGATGGGAGGCATGATAGTTCGAGAAATAATATTATAGATTTTTTTCAAAAAAAAAAAACAATATATTATAGATCAAACGTGTTAAAGGAATGTTTTCAAAAACAAAAAACATATTAAAAGTTTCAGTTTATTTTTGAGGCAAGAAAAGAGATAGGTGTATATACACGGTCTGATACGAGAGGACCATTAATTATCTTTTTGGTTCTTTAACACAATTATGTTCATCAGTGATACTTTTTTCATAAGAATTTAGAATATTTTTGGATCAAACACTATGAATTAGAATCTTAGACTTGGCCCATTTCTCGGTCAAAAGATGGTCTTGTAAGTAAGTTCCAAAAGCTTCAAACCTAAAGAATGACACCCACAAGAGAAAGAAGCCCTAAATGCATTTGAAATTAATATCCCCCTAAGAGAGTGAAATAGGTAACTGGTAGTAGAAATTTTTGATCATTTCGTTCAAATAATAGTTAAGTTGAAATTTAATACACTTTTTATTTATATAAAATCATCTTATATTATTATTATATGCAACGCAAGCTTACGAACTATGGGCATGAGGTAGCATGATATTGCGAAGGTTAAAAAGAATTGCTTTTATGGGAAAGTAAACCTTATCTTCAGTGTAAATAAGATAAGATAAAGATGAGCTTTGAATAGTTCCTGACGAAAAACAGAATAGTTCAAAACTTTGCGTATCACTACAAGAATTTCTTCTTTTGAATTTCTGTCGCCATTTTTTCTTCTTCTTTTCTTTTGTTGATCAAACAAAAATATTTTTACGGTAGTGTTACTATTCCTAATGTTAAATTATATAAAGTAGAGAGACATTGACTATAGAAGTAAAAATCTCATGGAACACGAAAACATTCTTGTTGAAACTTAAGTTTTGACAGGAGCTTAGTGTAGTTTAGTGTCTGTTCGAAGGTACGACCGTTTAATCGAGGAGTTCTAGACCAAATCTAAGACGACGGAGACGTTGCTGTGTCATGATCGCCCATCGAACTAGATATTCAAAACCAACGTACCCTCTTTACAAAGACACACCAAAACACTACTAGAGCAAGATCCGCAACTACTTTCTCATCTACAAACTCAATCGACATTAAATATTCACACACACACGTGCACACACACGATACTAGCATCTTCGTGATCGTCCAAAACAAAAGAGAACTAACATTGTGATTCTTTTTACCATGAGAATCGACCCCACCGCATTAAGGCATCTACTTCAACGTGTGTCATGTCTCTTTTTGTAAAAAATCATATATGAGAATGGTCAACATTGCTTTTCTTCTTCTTCTTCTTCTATAAATATTTATCTATAAATACCTTCTCACCAACTTCTCCATTCTTCACACACTCGCCTATAGACAAGAACAAACTCATCGGAACAGTTACTCACAAAGTCTCTCAACTTTTGAGCTCAAAGTTTTTTTTCCGCACTTTCCGACACGTACCATGGATTACAGATCATCAATGGAGTCGTCGGAAACCCTTAGGTAACCATTTTTATGGCCTTCATCTATTATATTAAGCTTTTTTTTTTTTGTTTCACATGGAGTGGCATGCAATACCATACCCAAAAGTTTAAAAAAAATATTAATATGAATGCGTATATATGTACACGAGCAGGAACAAGTGTGCGGCTTGTTATAGGCAGTTCAACAAAATGGAGCATTTAGTGGAGCACATGAAGATATCTTATCATTCGGGTCATGAGCCTACTTGTGGCGTTTGCAAGAAACATTGCCGATCTTTTGAGTCCCTCCGGGAACATCTCATAGGTAAATACAGTAATTAACAAGCTATAGACATATATCTATCTAAATGAGTAATAGAAATACCATTCCTATATCCAAACTTTGCTTAATTGTGTTAATCACATGAATAGGGCCATTGCCAAAACAAGAATGCAAGAATATTTTCAGCCTTCGCGGATGCAGATTCTGCCTGACGATCCTCGAAAGCCCGAATGCTCGTAGGATCCATCAAGAGAGATGCCAGTTCTCGAGCGTCAATTCTGTAATCCTCTCTTCTTATTATATTTTTATATGTAATTAAACTTGTAACCTATGAATCCACCGTATGAAAAAAAAAAATATATACTCTTACATTTATATCATATTATTCTCTCCTTTTCAGGGGCTGACCACTCGTATGGCGGCATTAGGCCTAAGAGATAAGGGCATGATAGACTACATGTCATCACGGTCTCCAAAAGTGGTTGCACTCTCTTGCAAGATGGTCGGAGGAGGAAGTGACGGGTCGTTGGACCTATGCGCACGGGTTTGCATAACGGATGAGAGTGACAACGTTGTGTTCCACACGTATGTGAAACCGTCGATGCCGGTAACGAGCTATAGGTACGAGACGACGGGGATACGTCCGGAGAATCTAAGGGATGCAATGCCGTTGAAACAGGTACAAAGAAAGATTCAAGAGTTTCTTTGTAATGGGGAACCCATGTGGAAGATTCGTCCAAGAGGTGGGAAAGGGAGGATTCTCGTGGGACATGGCCTCGATCACGATCTTGACCGCCTTCAACTTGAATATCCTTCTTCCATGATAAGGTGACATTTATAAATATAACAAGATTCTTTACTGTTGTTTCTCTTCAGAAGACCCCGTGATTGCATGTGAGTTTGGAATGTTAATATCATTTTGTTGTGTATTTAGGGATACTACAAAATACCCTCCGTTGATGAAAACAAGCAAGCTGAGCAATTCTCTGAAGTACTTAACTCAAGCCTATCTCGGGTAATATATCAAGTGTTTGTTTTTATAATAGTTTATCAAATCCAACCTATTAATTGGGAAAGTGAATATCGATGCATGCATATGTATAGATGATACATACTTTATATATGTTATCCATTAATTTTTTTAGGTGCCATGGGGGTATTGATGCTTTGTATGGGCTAAAAGTTATAAGAATTTCAAAACGTGAAAAGATTCACATGTTTTGTAGAATTTGTTTCTCCAAATAAAATATATCAACCTGCTTATTTCATTTTCTTATCTAATAATCGTAAATAGTTCAAAATTGTGTGTACCATAGTTTTCGGTATGTAAAATTTTAGGGATGAGTGTGTATGCCTGCGTTGACAAAAAAAAAGTGTGTATGCCTATATGTTCGTGTCTACGCACCGTAAAATCAACAACACTTGAGATCAGCTATACACTTAATTATTCCAATGTTTAAGATTATATATTAATGAATAATGATGACTATTGATGTTTTTATTATAGGTATGATGTTCATGTCGGAATACAAGACCCATACGAAGATTGTGTAGCAACGATGAGGCTTTACACGAGAATGAGATATCAGAGACACAAGATCGAAGCTTACCCTTTAGCCGCCGATGCGCAAAATCTTAGCAACCAAGTGGCTTGGAGGCAGAGCGAGGTGGAGAGGATGTCTCCTGATGAAATGCTCTATATCTCTCGCTCCGATTATTATTGCTGGTGCTTGGACTCCCTCGCTTAATTTCTAAAACTTTGGGTTCATTCGAGTAATCTCTCAAAATTACTACATAAACTTTTGTAGATTTTTACTTTAGTAGCGTAACGTGGAATAAGCATTATTAGTTCTGGTTTCTAGTATAGTAGTATCTAAATTTTATAGTGTGTTGCGTACGTGAAATGCATGGATGTTATTGTGCTTGTAATAATACACTGCTCTTAATTTTTAATTACTTGGTAGCTTTATTTGGTCTAGAATTAATGAATCTCTATTTTTATAGTTTAAAAAAAAACATATGAAAAATACGCACAATAGAAAATCATCTCTGTCGTTGTCAAAAAAAAAAAAAAAAAAAAAAATCATCTCTGTACAGAAAGAACAAATTAAAGGGATCAGATATTTTCTTAAACAGGATGCATTAAAAGCACAAAACGGCTTGTAACATGATTAAAGTCAACCTTAAAAACGATAATGAGCTTATTTATAGGATAGAAAAAAAATTGGGTTAAATGGTTAAATATTTTTTTTTTCGGTATATATGTTAAGATGAAAATGGTAAAATATATTTCTTCATCTTTTTTGAACAAAAAAAAAAAAAAAAAATCTTCATCTTTCATCTTTAGCATTGGTGTCAAGTATATACCATCATGGCATCATCCTCAATTTGTTAGATACTGATAATCCGAGGGGACTACATTTACAACGTCTATGTGTATGATGTGATGGTAATCGACCATGTAATGTTTTGTTTAGAAAAGGATGTAATAAAAGTAAAATATTTTGTAGTATATACTACATGATATGATATACTTCTTTTTAAAAAAAAAAAACTGATATGATTGAGTTCTTGATTTAGATTTCCTCTATAAACAAAAAAAAAATGAATCATCCCTGACGAAGAGATTCTTGCAAGATTTGAATTTTTATAATACAATTACGGTTATGGCCGCCAAAAAGAGATGGGCTTATCCCGAAAGCGCAAACGGAAGGATCTCATCTCTTCACTGAGTACTATAAAACAATAATATGTATCAATTTTGGGAACGTTTCCAACTCAATTTAAATTGTCATTTGTACGACCAGATGGCTACTGAATAACTACATGATGACCAGCAAAAACAGAGACAAGACAACGGTTTTAATAATCATCTGCAATAAGATTAAAAAGGTGTTTACAATTTCTGAATATCACGAAATAGATGCATGGAGCTTTCTCATTTAAGTGTTTTTTATTTTTCTTTTGTAACTCATACTTTCTTTGATTATAAACCATGCCTACCTTTTTTTGTTTGACATAAATTGTATTTATTCTGTTAGTTGTGTATTATTTGTTTGTCTCTGTATTTTCGTTTTTCTAAAAATGTAAACCAATGTTATGAGTGATATTTTTGGTCACTAGGCTACCGGTTAATATTTTTGGCTACTTGCACACAACTTCTGGCTTATTTAACATAGTCCTTCCACGAGATCATGTTCTCGTAGTTTTTTCCATGAGTCTTATATTATTTCTCTTTGACTCATATATGCAAATCTATACTTATATTTCAAGGATTCAAATGAGCATTTTTCCTCCACATCTCATTTTTTGCATTTATTTAACTTCGTTTATACACTCATGACTACTGATGATATCTTAGAAAATCAATCTTGGTTCTTCTTTTTCGAACTTCCAAGAAAAATCAAAACAGTAGCATAATTTTTTCCTGACTGTTTCTATACGGTTAGCTAGAGACATTTATTTTGATTTTTCATATTAAAATTTTAAACAGCAAACTTTCTTCAAAAGTGACACATAATTATATTTGCAGCATACAATAGTTATAGTATCTTTCTTAGACGAAAGAGAACCTTGGATTTTACTGATAAAACACGAAATATAATATTTTTACTTAATGCTTAAAGTTAAATCATCCGGAAGCTTGAAAAAAAGAAATAAAAAAGGATATAAAACAAGTTGAATATTTAATTAATCCAAGATATAATCAAGCTGAAACTCGTTTAGCTTCTCCATGGTTGCCACTAAGTTGCAACTGAGAGTTAGGCTTAGAAAGATTATCCTCTTCTTCTTCATCATCATCTATTGGAGTTGTCTTGTAATAACAAGCATAGAGTATAAGTTGCACTGCTCCAGATACGGTTCCTAGTCCATTTCCAATCTATAATTCAAAAAATTGGTAAATGAAGTGAAAAATAGTCGAAGATAATACTTAAAATTTAATCAAATGACCTTACCAAGATGAAAATATCGAATTTAATAAGGGCATAAATAACCCAAACGACACCGTTCAGAAAGTTGGCAAGCGAGAGAGGGAGTGGCATGTACTTCACACTTTTGGTCTTGATCACCTTACTCTGTTTCATTCAAAACAAAAATGTTGTATTTGTTCTTATAAAAGATGTACAATAAAATATGAAAGTTTATAAGAGTAGAAGTGGGGAAAAAAGAAGAAGAGGGAATTAAAAAGTAGTACCATGATGGTGAGAGGAGCAATATACATGAGGCTAAGAAAAATGACACAAAGGATTCCAACAAAAGAGGATCTCTGGTTATGTGTGTGAAACAATAGCAATGTGCATGTGGCTACTATACCTACAAACACCATCTCTCCTATCAGCCATAACCCCACTTTCACCTGCACAATGAATCAATGTAATCAAAATTCAATTCAGAATAAACTTGAATGAACTTTTTTTCGCCTATCACTATCCTAAATCAGAATCAATCATTGTCTACTATTGCTTGTTAGCGTTCATTTTAAGCCAAAATACAATAATTGAATCGACATTAGTTCAGTTTTTGTTCATGATCGGTTAAGTTATTACCAATATAAAGAAGCTCAATTTTTTAAATAGAAAATGTAAACCTAGGTAGTTGCTACATAAATTTGGTTCAAAAAACTTGAATATGTATTACTCTCGATTTAAATTCTTGTAATCTTTTTCAAATAACTTTATAAACAGACCATAAAACAAAGTTGTATAGTGTTATCTTGTTATATATCACTAGGAAAACATATGGTTCAAACTTACCGTATATACGTACAATCACAAGCTAACTAGAGTCCAGATGGAAACCAAAACTAAACCCTATAGTTTGATCCGGCTTCGAGATTTTTGGTTCATCTTTTCGCGCAAGGAATAATGGATAAAACGTTTTGAAAAAGAAAGAAAAATAAAACAAGAAAAGGAGAAGGAGATAGGTTGATAATACTTTACCTTGCGGAGGGTGGGAGAAAAGTAGATGAAGACAGCGAGATAGAGGAGCTCAATGGCAAGACCAGTGGCATTAATGGTGATCACAAGGAGACTATCTGGATGGACCACTGGTAAGCCATAAAGGACCCATAGTGCGCAATTTAGCACCGTGGCTAAGTATGGGTCGGCTTTGTACTCCTCCACTTTCTGCATCTTGTATATCGTTACGAACGTAGGTCTGCAATATATTTACTTGTAAGCAACAATTTTTGTAGTATAACAGATGGTATAGTCCAAAAGAATAAGGTGAAATCAAGATGGAGAGATTAAGGATTACATGGGAGATAAGAACAAGAACAAGGAGATGACATTTCCTGCCAAATTTAACAAATAATTAACAAAATATCTAATAAAAAGGGTTAGAGGTACTTGAAAATGTTCCTACACATATAAAATCCATAATTATGTGTGTTTTCTTGCGTACCACAAATGCCGACAATGGTTCTCGCAACAGTCGCGCTAACCATTTCGCTTAAAAGGAAAATCCAAACGAGAAGCAAGAACAAGAAGAGAGTACACTTTTTTTTGTTTTTCTGAACAAGGAGAGAGGGAGAGAGGAGATATGTAATGGTATGTTGAATGTGTGTGTGGTCTGTGCTTATATTTATAGATACACGATGAGATGTTGGTATTAATATAGATGCTCGTGTATACTTGCATATAAGCAAGCGTATATGTTTTGGGAATAATAAAAGAGTATGTGTATATGTATTGTGATGACGAAGCCAAACTCAAGAAGTTTAGGGAATTGAAATGAAAACGACATTGAATTTTGTTTTTCCATTAGAGGAAACAATCATGACGCTTATCTGATTCTTTTGCGACACTTTCTCTTTGGCTTATTGTTTTGGAGCCAAGATTATAAATATGCCTACCCTATAGAGTATACGTGTATATGTATATATCACATGCATGTACATTGTTATTTATTTGCAATAATCTTATACACGGTCACAATTCATTTACAAAAATAAGACTATTCACAGTGACACGTGAGCGTAAGCGAGCGAGCTGATACAAAATGAAATCAAGCAACCTTTATTTTCTTCACCTTTTAGATATTTTTCAGCGACTTCTAAATTTAGGCTGTTATATTTGATTATATATCATATGATAGAAAAGGTAAAATATTGTTAATTTTCATGGATTTCATATGAGAATCTTTCTCTCATTTCTCTATTTTGGAGACCATCTCGTTTTTTTTGTCAATTGTTAAGCAAATTAATAATTCGATTCACTATAATTTTCTTTATGAGCGCATATTTGTATATCTGATTCGCAGAATCTAATAAAAAGTAAAAGATTCTTTAAAATTGCTTACTTGATCCATCTATAGTTTAAATACAATGAAAATCACTCTTTAATTTTTCGAATTTTGGTGATAGAGAAATGAGTCAAATGACTGTTTATGAAAAAAAAATATTCTTTTGATTTTCGTCTCAAAAAAATGTTATGGCAATCTTAAAGTTTTTAATTGGATTTTTTTGTTTTTAATTACACTTATTGTTTTTAATTACACTTATTGTTTTTAATCTAAACCCCATATCAATTAACAAATATACTTCCTCGTTTTCATACAATATATATATCAAGGATTAATTCCCCTAAAAAATTACAATGAGTGTAGATCTTAATGCATGGGACGTAATGATAAAGAGTTAAAGAACTAGCCCTTATTATTTTGTTTTTGGTTGGTCAAATTAGCCCTTAATGTGAAAATAATTCTCAAATGATAAGGAAAAGCTCTAAGCAAAAGCAAAATGCCTTTACAGATGTTGTGAGAAGGCACACAAGGCAATGATATTTTAAGAGCTTTAAAATAAAGTAAGCATGCGACTGTATGTCGACGATTTCGAATTTTTGATTCCGATGTAACCATTTTCCCGAAGATATTTTTGTTTGCTTTATGAATTATGTGGATGATAAAAATTGCATGATTATATGCTTCGAAATTGAATATATTTTATTCTTAGTGATATGAAAGGTATACCAACAATTAGATCATCTTTGGGATCAAATTAGATTAATTATTTATTTAGACACGAATTATTTATTTTGTTTGGTGAGAATATACATCATCAAAATAAAGAAGGTTTTTTTGTTGGTTTGGAAAAACAAGATTGTTCTAAGAAGAGTGTTTTTTTTAAATACTGATTTACTCACCTAGTTCCATATTCAAAAAACTATATTTATCAAAATAAGCACACAAAAATATTCAAAATAACTAAAAAACCTAAATTTGTATTGTCCAGATTTGAAGAGATTATCATGTAGTCTGAGAGACTATAATTGGAATCTATCCAATGTAATTTTAATTGGTTGGCCACTATAGATATCTTATATGACAATTTTTTTTAGTTATTTTTCACATATTTTGGAAGAGTAGTTGTTAAATTCTATGTCAAGATGAGATGTGTAGTCATGACTTAATATAAACAATATTAGCGAGTTCCTCTTGTAGGAATATCGAACTAGGTTTGCTACTTAAGTGGGGTTGTTAAGTTCTATAATCGGTTCCCCTAAATAAAAAGGATGAGGAGAATTGAGAACGTATTTATATAGATTACTTTAATTAGTCGGTCCGGAATCCGTTTAGTGGGTATAATCTCGGGTCAATATTCGATTCGTAAGGACGTAAGGTTCGTGGGACGTTTCCGCTCTAGTCTTTTCATGCATGGGTTTGTTTTGCTAAGTTCGTTCACGTTAGAAAGCGCTAAATGCTATCAATGTGTATAGCTGCATCTAAAGTTGAATGTGTTTTGGTTATTAATGCTCTCAGCATGGCCCAACGTCATTAATTTTGTTCACCGAGACACCGAGTTATGATTCTTCTACTAACTTGTTTAATCAATATTGCGTCAAATATTAATTGTGGTTTGAGTCGAAATAAGGCAAGCTGCGTTATACAGTGTCTTGTTTCTGTTTGCTTCCTCTCGTCATGTGAACACAGTTGTTTTTTTTCGGTTACTCATACTTTGTTAGCTATATCATGTGTCGATCTTTCATTTGTTCTCGTCCACAATAATTTGTTTTCTTATGCCCAATCGTATATATTTTTATCGTCAATAAAAAAGATGTTACGTTCCGCTATTAGAATGTTTGATTAATTTATCCAAGTGATGAATTTTTTAACCCTATGCTAATTGTCTTCTAGTGTAAAATTATATTCGAGGCGTAATCATACTTTCGAAATGGGAATTGGTTGAGAAATAATCAGATATTTTTCATGGATAAATCTTTCTTTTCTAGGGCGATTGCTTAACAAAGTGGCACACACATTTATTGGTCAATCCAACGGCTCCAGCCAATTTCAAAAATGGATCTGTTTATGAAAAAATATTCAAAGTTCTCGAAAATATATAACCATAACTATGATTACTCAAAATTGTGTTATAATTGACTTTTAAATAACGATGAATTTGTAAACAAGTACAAATTCAATTGTACAAACTAATTTCTGTTATAAATAAGGGTCGACCTAAACTTTTTTTTTCCTTTTTTGTTAAAGGATCTAAGTCGACCTATATAAATTTCTTACATTAGATGTATACTATGCTAAAATTAATAATAATCGAAAGTTTGTCTTATATACACATGATGATAGCTTTTGTATGTAAACCTTTCAAAAATATTACTTTCATTCATGGATAGACTAATCTTTCAACAGTTCCTTAAATTAATTTTACCTAAATACGAAACGAAGTTCATCACGTAGGGCATTAGATGTTTCTTAACTGAAGTATATAGGATGGTTACATCTTTGGACATATTATTATATTGATATCTAGCTTGACTTTGTTGCTAACCTATTTCAAACTCTAAATTGTGATCGAAATAGGTTTTCATTGCACGAGTATATAACGAATAGTTATGTTTTAAAATGCCAACATTTCTTTTTTTCTAGGAGGGCTACCATTGACAGAAAACAAAGAGCTATATTAAACCTACATGTTAACTGATTATTAATATATATATACTCCATTATTACGATTTGTCATTCATATAGAACAAAGAAAAATATTTATAAATATTATTTTAGTCAAGGTCCATAAAAAAAAATCATTAAACTCTGGCAAAACTAATGGGGATTGACTGATTGAGGAATGAGGACATAAGCGGTTTAAATCCGGAAGAAGAGCCAATGGTGACACAGAGGAGACTGAAAAAACAAATAGGAACAAACAAATTGCTGTTCCAGACACCATAATATGTCACTCTCGGTACTCAACATTTCCACTGTCTCAAGAGTTATTTTTAGTATGACAAAATCGGCAAGAACACATATCAAAATTGTCCCCCTCTTAAATTATTTTGTTATATGACCACTTCTCAACTGGATGAATCACCGATCTTGGGTGGTGGACATTCGTTGTTTCAATAGTATAGGTAGTGTAACATGATGTGCAATAATTCGAACTTGAAGTCACTATTTGTGAGAGTGAGAGAGATGTACCGGAAAGCTTTTGCTTTTCTTTATTTGGAATTTTTTATATGGACGGTTTGGTATTTTTCCTTTTTAGGATTCAGTTCCATCGTGTTTGGTACACGATTAATGAATAACAACCGATAGTGGATTCATTGTTTTGGCCTTTTCATGCCACTATTTGAAACGTTTTATCTGGACTTGGAACCACGTGGTTTAGTTTGATTGATTTTAATTCCCACTGCCAAAATGATATTGGTTTCATTCTTTTGTCAAAAACATACACTTTCACGGGCTTGAATATGTAAATGTAATGATAAGTTGATAACTATTACAGTAGTAAACAAAACACTATGGTACATATCTTTGCCGATTTTGGTTGTTCTTTCGTTATATATTTGTGAAATGAAACAATATGACTATGCTTCGAAACTGATCACACAAGAAGTGACACGTCTAAGATTATTCTTTCTAAGAACATCGTTGCAAAAAAAGAGAGTATTTTCAACTAATAAAGAAATAACGAAACAATCTTTGATTCTTACGGATAGAAGCATCTTATTACCTTTATGCTCGGCTAAACTTTGCCTCTTTCTTTTTCTTTTTTGTTCTTGCTTTACTATTTTGGTCGGCCATTTTTCATTGTTTTGTCTTCGTGTTGGTCGTATCATCAGTGATGACCTGGCTACCTGATTAAAAAAAACTCACACGCTGTAATCACATATGTACACAAGAAACATGTTAGGCTGATCCGTTCTCGTTTGGGCTTATGATACCACAAATAAAACGAGTCAGAAAATGGAAGCATCAAATGTAAAAAGAAGAAACAATGACATGCACATGGTGATAGAAAATGAAGACAAAGCAAAACCATTTGTATTTTTTGAAAGGTTTCAGTATGATTTTGCATGCATTTATATTGTGTCTGATTAGTGATTTGACGCCTTCAATCTATAAACTTCTATTCACAAAGTGACAAAACCTTAAAGATTTTGTATGCTCAACGGCGCAAAAAAAAGCTGTACATTTTGTTTGCTTCTTCTT